CATAAGGACCTATTTTTATAATATACAAATGAAACAATACTTTAAAGAGTACATCAAGAAAAGCTGAACAATTATTAATCTCTCACTTCTTACCAATGTGTATGATTATGCCACAAATTCCTGGCATTAAACCTAGTTCAGTCAAAATTTTAGTTTTCAAATATGAAGGTATATTTGTTAAAAATGCCTCTAGCTTGCAAATTCTGTCTCATGTTTATATTTCATAGTGGCTGCTCAGTAAGTGTTAAATAACTTAATACCATAGAAATGGAATTGAAAAGTATTCTAGGTGATAGTAGACTAATTTAATTAGAGATTCAGGTTCTTCTCTTAGTCCATATACATGTGGTTAGTGGCTGCTCAGTAAGTGTTAAATAACTTAATACCATAAAAATGGAATTGAAAAGTATTCTAGGTGATAGTAGACTAATTAGAGATTCAGGTTCTTCTCTTAGGCCATATACATGTGGTTAGAACACTGAGGGAAAAGTTTATTTTTCTATTTTCCTATATCTTAGTTTCCCTATCTTTTATAAAGGGGGTGAGGGTTATCTAGAAAGTTCTCTTCTAGCTCTGCTGTTCTGTCTCTGTTAGCAGTTTCATAAGATAGGTGTATTATTCTAGTACTACTTTTTGATAGATCAGTGGTGCCCCAACTTTGTACACTCACTAGGTTTGTGTATACTTGTGAATTACACATGCCAATCTGTATATTAGTACTAACATTTAGCTCTTTTTCCTTCCTATGCACATGTGTATGGGAAGAAAAACTATGTGTATAGTTTTGTGCATCCCTGGAGTTTGTGTGCCCAAATTTAGAGTGTAAGTAAAAACAAACAAAAAACCTGTCTTCACAGTATTGCAAAAAATAACATAGTTATTAAAGTATTACTCTACAATGAATATACCTTTGCCAATCAAATAACAAACATAAAACAGAAGCTTTTATGGCCATGAATTTGTTGCTCCGTGCTTTTTTATGTACTTCTCTACCAAGATACCTTAATATGACTTGCATAGCCTGCCTTAGTTTCTTAAAGAAGTGTAAATCAAGCATTTTTGTAAATCCTCACCCGAGTACATGCTTATTTGAGAGAACCGTCAATGTGAGAAACGGATCAGTTGCCTCCCGTGTACACCCCGACCAGGGACCGAGCCCACAGCCTTAGGTATTTGTCCTGACAGGGAATCGAATCCACAACCTTTTTGGGGGGTGCACGAGACAACACTCCAACCAAATGAGCCATCTGGCCAGGGCATGCTATACTTTGAGAACACAAATAAAAGTACGAAGCCTGGAGCCATTGGAGGAAGAGAGCATTACTGCTGTACCTGAGCTTTGCTAAGGAAAAACAAAACGAGGCCCGTGAGGGCCCATCAGTCTAATAGTAAACAATGTAAGTGTTTTCAAAAACCAGTTAAGATTTGATAGAGATATATTGCTTTGGATATTTAACTTGTCACAAGTTAGGCCATGATGTGCTTTAATATAATCCTATTAATCACACCTGTGTCTTTTGGCGGTTGAAGTGATTTACTCTTTAATGAGTACTCTTTTAAGCTAGTTCAGAGTTTTTGTCAATTTGTTCCTTTCTATAGAAACTCATTCAGTGGAGCTGGGACTGCCTGCCTAGGAAGAATTCAGTGAGAACATGATAGCTGTTAATATGTGTAATGGGTTAAATCTCTCTGGTTTCTTGAATGGCAAATGAGTCAGTTGTTTGAGAGGCAAGGAGAGATTAGGAAAATGTTACTGAAGCCTGGATGCTGCTGCCCTTTACCAACCCCAACAAGTCACAATGCATTTCCTTTACTAATGAGATCAGACCTGTGTGATTGAGTAAAGCTTAGGAATGATGTCCAACCAAACTAGTCAGTTAATATTGAATGAGCTGATGCATAGCAAGCCAGTTAGTTTATAACCATAAAGCTCACATCAAAAGATGTGAACTATGATGAAGGCTCGAGATTACCTGTGCATTGCTTGTCAAGTGGACTCTAAATCTAAAGGTTTTCATCAGGGAGCCAGTAGGCAGGCACAAGGGAGAGAGCAAGGACTGGATTCCAGGTCCAGCCCAGTGACTACGACCTCAGGCGTATTTGTACTTAACTCTCCAAGACTCATTTATCATTATGAGAATACATATACTAACCTTGCTTGCTTATTACAAAATGTAAATGAATAACACATGTGAATGTTCCTAGACCATAGTAGGCATTCAGCACAGCTTGAGTCCATTTTGTCAAAGTGGCTCTCTGATCCTTGGTAGGCTAAAGTGCAAGTTAAAAGGGACGAATCCTGCCACGCTGTTCTGCATGCTGATGAAGTCTGTGTATGCAGAGATTTTCTTTATCCAGTGGTATCTGAGGGACTGACCTCTCAAGTTCGTGGCTTACATTTGTATTATATTCAGTTCAGGAAAGAGGCAGGAGCGAACAACACAGCAAAACACCTCTTGTACTTGCAGGGTGATAAATGCATTTTAGAAGTCCCAAAAATAAAACAATTCAATTTTCCTTTACAGGGTTGATAACTTCTTTGAAACCAAAGTAAAACTGAAATGTTTTACACGTTTTTCTTCCAGCGTGCTACAAATGAAAACTGATGAGAAACTGGATTTGTCTGATGGGAATGCAGCAAGCTGTCCCTTGAGCCCCATTAAGATGTGCCTTAATCGTCCCGTTGAATGGAATCTGAATTTGACAGCAGCATCTCTGGCAAGCTGTACAGTTCATAACCAAAATCTCCAAAGTGAAGAGAAATAGATTGCAGTTCTTCTTGCACTATCCTTATTTTGTACGTCAATATTCTTTTGAACAATAAGCATTTATCAGTTGATCTTGAAATTTCTAGTCCTGTGATTTGTCTTTATATAAAATCATTAGCATTAATCACTTTGATTCTTTGTATGTTTTTTCCATGTTTTACATCAGACCATTGTGGAATTTTTGCAGTACAGATGGATTTGATGTTTCTCCTTTTAATGGTATTTTATCAATTTTTTATGCCCTAAGTTTAAATATGTAACTGTCCCATTTTATTTCTCTGCTCAAAGTTTTAATATATAATGGATTATGTGACTTAGAAGGCTAGTGTTGTAAAGGTTTGTGATGATGACCTGACCCATGAACAGCTGTATAACAGGTGGATACCAACTACCTCGAAGTAAATTGGCGAAAGGCAAAGGTATCTCTTAGAAGTCTATCTTTTTCAAAGTTATATATGTATAGAAAAATTGATCATAGTTTATCAAGTGTTCATCGATGCATGTCTGCATTCACCGGAGAGTTTGAGCTGACGAGTTTTTTTCTCTGTAATTTTAAACCTTTGGGCTCTGTGGGCTGTAAGAACAGTGGCACAGTTGCATGTTTACCTTTCAGCAAACATGTGCCTCTCACAGACAAGAATACAGTTTGGTTTCTGTAAGTTACCAGTTTGGAATGAAAAATGGTAAATGGATTTACTTCTATTGATTTTATTGTATTTTTAGCCATTTATTTTAAAGTGTAAAGGAATGATTTTTTACACCAGGTTATTCCTTGCCTTTAACTCTAACAGTGCAAAAGCACAGCTTCATCGATGGCTTATGTGATTGTGTGTCTAAAACTTGAATAGTAAGAATACTAGAGGTTTGGTGCTTGATTTATCTTCCCAGCCAGACGAAGAAAGCTTTGATAGGGTGGTCTGTGTAAATACACAGCGTGGCTCCTTCCCTGTGGACGGCCTGGCTGTGAGGTGAATGCTGTGTAGTTTGTGGACGTAAGTCCTGATTTCTCTTACCCCACCCCCAAATATTTTTAAAACAGGAATTTAACAAAAAGCTTACATCAAGAATTAGAAGCACAGGAAAAGACAGAAGCCAACAGAATGAAAATCACCCACTTCTCATCGTTTTAGACCATCACATCTGCCTCGTCCTGTTTCTCAAGCATTCTTACTGTTCCTTTCAGACCCCTTTATACTTCCGAGTTTTATAAAGCACATGTGTAGTATGTAATATAGCAGTTCGGTTCTAAAAAGCACAACTATCTTAACTTTGGTTCCAACTCAGAACATCACTTTAAATAACTGGCCTCTGGTAAATAAAGCACAATTATGAAAACAGATCCAATGTTAGGGCATTTCTATTATGAGTAATAAAGAGAAAAGGCAACTATCAGATGGATAAGGTTTTGTTGGGTGTTGCAGAAGGAAAGGGGACTGATTTCATAGAGTATACATCTTAAGTCAGGCAAGTACCAATTTCAGAAGGTAGATGAAATTGACAGTGAAGAAACAGTGCCCCAAAACTAGTAGAGGACTTTTTGTTATATTATTTTCCCACTAGTACTTTTTTTACCCACAATACTGTTATACCAAAACTCAGAAAGTGAGTCCATAACTTGCATGTACATACGAACATCTCCCCAGGCCAGGAAACACCATCGTAACAAGCAAACTAGGGTTCTCGTGTGCAAATGTTCTAGGAAGAGAGACTGCCCGTTCAGGTAGCAGTATCAGTGTTTTTACTAGTGTGAGAAACAAAACAAAATTATCAAAATGAGCACTGTTTAACTGGAATGCTGGGCGCTCTGGTTCCTTCCACTGGTCCTTCTCCCTGGGAGCAAGCTCATGTCCAGCAAGTCTGTGGTACTTCATTTGGCCTTGACGTGTCACTTTGTAAATGTGTTCTGAGATCGGAAATGTGTTCGTCTGTATTGGACCTGCCCCACCTAAGTCATAAGCTTCTCAAATGTAAACCAGTAGCTACACTTAAAAGTTGCCCATAATACCATGATCTTGCACAGGAGAGTTCGCAGGCATCATCTGGAAACCCTGTTTGGAAAGCAGATTCCTAGGCCCACTTTAGAGTCTGATTAAATCCTTGGGACTGATGTAGGTGGTGTGTGGGGCACCCCGACAGTCGCTGCCCTGAAACTTGGGCCCAGGCCAGGTGATGTGGAATCATCACACGGCAGACAGTCCTACAAGACATCAGGCAAAATGTTTCTAATTTGGACACAAGGGTAAGTTTATTAAAGCAAAGAACTGAAAATAAAGTACATTTGTAAAAGGATCCCACTTCCATCGTCTCTTCTCCTAATTTACTTCATTGAGGAATTGCTCAAGGTTAAGTTTACTTTTTGTTAGTGCTGCTGTTTTGGCTCGTCTTGGTAATCTCATCCTCATTTCTGATTCTGGCTGTGGAACTTCATGATCACTAAACAGATGTTGAAAATACACCAATTTAAATACAAGCTTTAAAACCACAGTTTATTTATAAATAAAACTTTGTTTCTGACTCTCATTCTATCAGTGTGTAATTGATACCCTAATTCCACTAAGCTTAAAACTAAAAGCTCAACCAAAACCAAAAAACCACGACAGCTATCCAGCAAACTGAAATCATGGAAACCTAGCTAACTTTTTCTTACAGCCATGGAGAACCTGGTATTTTACAGAAGGAAAAAAACCCCAAACTTTTGTAATGAAGCTTGTAATTAAACACCATAACCTCCCAAGAGTTTTTTGGAGAACGGAAGAAATGGGGAAAAAACTAAGTTCTCTTGATTTAGGCAATAAATTCCTAAAACACTGTAAATGTCATATTTCCCCCAAAGATTTTTAAATTAGTCAAAACTTAGTCTAAAAATAAACACACAGCTTTTCCGATGAATAAATGAATGTAAGTCAGCTGCAATTTTCAGATTCCAAAAGTGGCTAATTGGCAGAAACCAAATACAAACACTATACCACAAATACATCCAAATTATAGGCAGAATTAGTCTATTCTAAATGTAGACAAGTTGTCAATTCAAGATGAGAGCAGTCAAGTACACATGATCATGTAACTAGAATACGTGGAAATAAAAAATGAAAGAACACATTAAAGATGACTACCCAGTAGCAAAGGCTATGCCAACTAATACGAAAAAAAAGCCATAGAAGTCAAATGCTCTTGATAATGGCATGCAAGACACTGATTATCTTGTACATAGATTGAATTTCTCTGCAACAGTAAAACACACTGGAATGTTTTCCTACTTCTAGACAACAAAAAAACTAGACCTGTGCGTGCTCTACCAGTGCACGGCATACCTCTCAGAGTCAGCCTCAGAAGTCCGTCGTCTCCTGGTACTCCTGGCGGAAGCTGTCACTTTCCTTCGTCCTTAAAGAGAGTTTGTTATCAAAATTATCACCTGCTTATTATTCTGTTTCCGGGCTACCTACATCCTTTATTTTCTCTCTTCAACACATTTCCTCCAAAGTTCCCATCCGCCTTGATACCAACTATCAATAACACAAAAGGAATTTAAGGAACATTAATTTCTATTGTATAAGCTCTCATAATAGGCAAGGGGAAATATGGAAAGTAAGTTAGGGAGGCCAGTTTTAGTTAAACATAACTAGAGGAAAGCATGTGAAAAACATGCTATATAAAGAAAGTACCTCTACTATGGCTACAGTACAGTGTATAGAGAAGCTAATGAAAATTAAAGTAAAAGCCCATAAACAGGTCTTAAAGAAATAGAATTTAAGTCAGTAAGGTAATAGCTTCTTGCAAAATATTCAATCACATATACATAGCAAATTTAAATTGTTCTATAAAACATTTCAGTATAAAAATTAAAGCCTTTATATGTGGAGAGCTGCAAAAATTCTACTTGCTAGAGATAAAGTTAAGAAGACAAAGTCTGGCCTGAGTTCCTCCCCATTCTTGATAATAAGTAAAATCTATTTTTAAAGTTGGAGCTATGAAGAAAAAAAGTGTTGTTCTAATGGGACAGTATCTGACTAAAAGCAACCTTGTCAAAACCATATGTTCAGTGTGACCATTTGGTTGAAATCTGTAAACCTTATTCATATGGGACTTGGGTTGTTTTTCAATTGAACCTTATGTATTTGCTTTTAAACTTCTAATGTAATTATCTCCAAGAAAATATCCAACAATATGGGACTAATTTGGGACATCCAGCAATTAGCATTGAAATAACTAACTAGCTATAAAACTGTATTATGGCCAGATTCCAGATTCCACTTAGAAAAATATTGAACCTGCATAGAAAACGTCCTAAAAAAAAAAAATGTTTTTCAAGGATTAAAATAATGGCTGGCTCCTGGGATGTTATTAGTGTTCTTTATATTGGTATGCTTGGATGTTATTTCTGTAATAAGCATGCACTGCTTTTGTAATAAGAAAATAATAAAACAATTAAATAAAATCTTGAATTACAGATTTTTTTCCAAGTGATGCCCTAATAGTCAACCTTTACATCATTCCAACAAATTCCCTTATTGTTGGATATCCCCTGGGAATATATTGGGGCAATATGAAATAAAATGGGGGGAAGGAAAACAGGAGCACAGAAAAATACCAGGCAGATAAAAGGGACAAAATTACTTAACACAAATTACTAACAATATAAAATCACTGATCATTTGCTAATAAAAATCAGTTTAATCCAAATAATCCTTTGCAACATGATGTTTTGCATATTTCAAACAAAAGTACTTACAGCAACACTGATACTATTTTTTAAAATATAAAAGCAAAAATTATCAGCTGAAAGAATTAAAAAGTACCCAAGACATTTGTCCCTAATGAGACAGGTAGGAAACTCACAAAGAAAGTAATTCACTAGAAAACACAATGGCAGTTTAACTAACAAAGCTGGTCAGCCCACGGACTCTACCTCTGTCGGTCTTTCGCTGAGTGGATTTTGATGCACGGGTTGCTTTTACAGCCTTGAGAGGGGTTATATATACGTCTTTATTCTTTCCTATTAAAGGAAATAATGCAGCAATGTAAAAAAAAAATAGCCTCATGTAATATTTTAAGTGATCTTTCCAAGTCAATTTTTCAGAAACGACAACCAGCCCCATTAGAAGCCACTCAAAGATGATCATAAATCAGTGCTCCCAAAAATGTGAGTCGTGTCAAGTAAGCAAGCAAAACTCCTAAAAAGAAAGTATGTCATAGGGTGAGAAATGTACACATAACAAGACTGTAAAAGCAGAGTGTTCTACTGAGAATAAACACTTCGCAGTATACACTTTCCCAAGGGGATTAATTAGAAAAATTTCCCTTTCATATCTGAAGCCCAACCACGTGTTACAGGAGCAACAGTGTCTCGGGAAAGAAGAGAAGAGAAGGTGGTACGTATTCGGGTTCATGGGCCGTGTTACCATCTCCATTCTCACAGGCAGTCCCCGTGGCGCTGGCGTCCGGCGCTGTCACAGCTTGGTCACCGGCGTCTGTCTGTCCTTTTTCTAACTGAATCTTGATTTTCTCCAAGGCTCTCAGACATACCCTATCTTTTACTTGCTACAATAGAAAACATTTAACATTTTTAAATGCAGCATTTTCTAATCTTTTAAAAAAGATAGATGCTGATATCAAGTTATTTCACAACATTCTAAAATCCTATTAAACTTATGAAGGAATTAATTCAAAATGAGCAAAGTCACAGTATGTTACCATGTATAATTTAATACAACCATGTAAATTCTACTTTGATAACATATATACATAATAGGAGTAATTGGAAAGTACTTTACCTCCAGAATCTCATTCAACAGGACCAAAAGATCTTTAGCAAGACTGCTACTGAGTTCTAAAGAGCTCAGGGCTTTGGTATAGATGCGAATTTCTGGAGAACATGGACATGTTAAGATCTCATTGCAGATTTTTATAGCCAAGTTGTCATGAACTGTTAAGGCCTAGAAAATCAAGAGAAAAATCTTTGTAAATTGAAAATGGTATGATTAAAATATAGTCCTGCACACCTAACAAACATTTCCAACTTATTATCTTGCCATCATCCCAAAGGCAAAATGTCTCAAACGAAACTGAACACACTCCTCCCACAATGAGCTTCTCCAGGGTTTGTAGTGGATGCTGTGGGAAGGGCCCAGATCCACTCCTTCTACTAAACCGAAGCACTTACCCTCCAGCTACTACGCATTTTAGAGGATAACAGTTCTCAGAAGCAAAACGGACAAGTTGAAGGCAGTGGGCCCTGCCCAAGGTCAAACCTCCTCCCCAAGAGGTGGTCCATACCCAATAACTGGTGGGCACATGGGTGTAACAGCCCAGCTCTGTCTCAATTCTGGGTACCTCAAAGGACTACCGCAGCTATGGATCTTCTGTGGGGTCACCTGGGCCTTCAGACTTCATTGCAAGTCAGCTTCTTCCTCTGCCCACCCTGTCTCCCTCACTCTTCCACGATACCCATCATGAGAATGCTCCCCAATGAAACGACGTCAACATCATCTTTGAGATCTCGTCACCTGTACTTAGACTCTTCCTTACCTCGGCTCCTCCATCTTCCCTGCCTCTCAAAGCTCTTTCTTCCAGGCTGTCGTACCCGTATTTCTTTTCTCTCACAATTTCTACTATTCTTTTTTTTTCTATTTTCTATTACTCTTTTTCTATAAACTTTTATGTCCTAATTGTACATTTTTAACTGTGCCCTTTATTCATCTCTATTCCTCTTAGCAATTCAGCTCAGTAATGATACCACCAAATTAATGTGTCTAATAAGTTACTTTTCATCCCCTTAGCCCTTCCATTCTACGCTCTGCAGTTACTCACTGCTAATAAGGCCAGCCAGCTCCACATTCCCTAGCCTAATGTTCTAACAGGCCCCACTCAGGATTCTCAGCCAGAAAGATACGTCCCATGGTTCACAAACATGCACAACCAACTACATCAGTCACCCTTCCTAAGTCTCTTTCCCTCTACCCACGCCACTCCCCCAACCCCAACATGGCCTAGCTGAATGTTACTCAGTACAAAACAAATAATGCCATATTCCTCACCCTACCACATACACTCTGCCCTCTTCTCAGGTCCTAAAGCACTTAGTAACTACATCACTGACCTTTACTATATTTTGCCTAATATATTTTATCTTTCCCATAATGTGTAATGTAGCGATTTGAACGAAGTATACCATCCTTAAATACCAAGTAAAACAGGAAATCAACACAGCTGACTACTGAACACCACGGGGGTTACGCTTCGTTCCCAGCGCAGTCAAAAATCTGCGTCACTTTTGACTCCCCAGTAAGAGTTACCTCCCAGTTGCCATAGGGCAGTTGTTCCAGGAGCCCTGCAAATCAAAACCAACAGGCGCGCAAGTCCCTTACATAAAATGGCACAGAACAAGGCATAGAGTCAGCCCCCACATCACAAATTCCAACCCAAGAATCAAAAGTAATATTTTCGATCCACAGTCATTAAAAACCATGGCTGCAACCTCAGGCTATGGAGAGCAGACTATAAACTTCCTGGGAAAAAGTCTGTGTGTAAGTGGACCATGCAGTCCACACCCACGGCGTTCAAGGGTCAACTGCATTTCAGATATTAATTAAAAACCCAGATTAAATTTAATTTGTAGGACAGTTTTAGGTTAACTTATCTTCTTTGAATTAAAAGCAAATAAGCTTGAGTCAAGTTTCATTCTTTGAATTCTCCTTCCTCCTATCAGAAAGATACCAGGTAAGCCAAAATTAGGAGACAGCAAGGGTGGCTAGTTTGGGTAACTTTTCAGTAGCAAACATGTTAGCGCTGATTACTTCCATCTCCACATTTCCCAAAGTATTTTTTTTCTTACTTTGTGTTATGCACTACCACATATACCAGAAATCTCAAGATCAAAATGTAGCTTCTATTTCAAGAAATCTGAGGGATTATTTTACAAAACAAAACAGTGACCTGCATCCTAAATTATCATCCTTACCATCCACAAACTGACCTACTCACCCACCTGATAATCTTGGGAATTCTTGGCCTGAGGATTTAATCCACTTGGTCTCGTCAAATCCACAAGTAACTCAGCAACATTGGTGATATCTATTTCAGCTAAAGGAGAAGACGCAGGGGCTTTGGCCAGTGTTTGCAGGGTTGGGAAAAAGGCTTCTTCAAAACACTCTTGATTAGTCCTATTGAAAGACAATTTAAAAGTACACAGGCAAAAAAAAAGCTTATGATTCTTAAAAATATACGTTATGTATAAAATTCACCCCATCGAGACATAGGACGTTTTCCAAGTAATTCCGGTAGATAAAATCTAGGTAAGCTCTTCTTATTCCACCACTTACCACTGAAGGATAAGAATAAGCAACAAAATGATACTACCGACCGGACTCTTGGGGAGTGTGAATTTAACTTCAAGTCTTTGATTTACTAATTTGACTAAGTAAATACCTGCTGGCATAAGCGAACACGGGGAAGAACACCCCCAGGCAGTGCCGAAGCCGCACGTCCTCTTCGGTCACGGGGTTGTACCACAACAAGAGGAGCCGGCACAGGATCCTGCTGCTGACCAGGAGCCCGGAGAACAGCAGCTTGGCCAGTCCTTCTGCAGCTCCAGTCCTGAGTTCAGACACCTAATAAAAATGGCTCTCATTAAAATAAATTTTTATTTGTATTTCCTTTTTAAGACTTAAAATGTAGCTTGTCCTACAATATTTTTATATAAACTATCCAAAAACCATTCATGTTATTATGAACTTGTTAAAGGCATAAAAGAGTGTTTCTTCTTTTAGGCTCTGGCTATGTGACAAATTATTAGTGTAGCTATTAAAACTTCAATTCCCTTAAAAACATTTAGAAGAACCAAAAGGCAAATTTAAATGTTGTCAAACCAAAAATCAGTAAGTATTAAATGCTAATCATAATGCTAAAATAGTAAAGAAAGCAAAACCCTTAGTAAAAGTCCCTGCTGTCAAAAGGAAGGTACCCACCGAACAGACACATTACCCCCATTTCACATGTGCAGACACAGTGCACCAACTCAGAATTTCAAAAGTCAATCTCTACCTTTTGATTGAAGAGTTTAGTCAACTTATACTTAAAAAAGTCACTGGTATGAACAAACACTGACTGAATTACAGGGAGAAACAGCTTTACAATTGTGACTGAAGACTTCAATGCTCCACTTAAGGTAACGGACAGAACTGGGCAATTGATAACAAATAGAGAACTTAACACTATAAACCACCAACAGCTACCAAACACACAGACATTCCACCCAACTACAGCAGAATATACATTCTTCTCAAGTACACATGGAACATCAAAGAGAAGCCTATGTAACCCAAAACAAGTCTCAGTAACTTTGTAAAGAATGAAACCATAATCTTCAATCACAATGGAATACATCTGGAAAGCAGTAAGAGAACTGTAAAATTCACAAATGTGTGTAAATTAAATAATACAGTCTTCTTACACACTAACAGGTCAGAGAAATCAAAAAGGAAGTTAAAATGTACTTAGAGATTAATGACAGTAAAAACACAACAAACCAAAACTTACTGGATACAGCAACAGCAATGATCCAAGGGATATATAAAGCAATCAATGCCTACATTAAAAAAAAAAATCAATACCCTAACTTTACACCTTAAGGAGCAAAAAAAAAAGGGGGGGGGGAATTACGAAGAAAAGTCAATGAAAACAAGAGTTTGTTCTTTGAAAAGATGAACGCCACTGACGAACCTTCAGCTAAACTGACGAAACAGAGGAAATGCACATACAGCTAGAAAGGGAAGCGGGGGCATGACAAGGGGCCTTACAGAAACAGAACGACGGTGAGGATACTATGAACAACCAGACACCCAACAAATTAGATGATCGAGATGAGATGGACAATTTCCTAAAAACACAAAATTACCAAACTATTCGAGCACAAATAGAAAATCTGAACAAACCTGTAACAGGAAACATATTGAATAAGTAATCAGAAGCCTCTCAAAACTTAAAGTCCAACACCAGATGTACTCGCTGGCAAATTCTAACAAGTATTCAAAGAAGAACTAACCAATCTTTCTCAATCTTCCAATAAATAGAAAGAGGAAACAATTCCTGACTCAGTTCATCAGTGTTGCCCTGATACCAAAGCCGAACAAAGACAACGCTACAAACCAACTTATCTCTTATGTAACGATCCAACAAAATACTAGCAAACTGAATCCAATAATGTATGAAAGACATTACACACCATAACCAAACGGATTTATCTCTAGAATGTAAAGGCAGCTCAACATAAGAAAACCAAGCAATGTAATGTATCACATATCAATAAAACAAAGAAATAAAGTACATGATCATTTCAATTGATATAGGAAAAGCATTTTACAAAATTAAACTTGCTTTCATGATTAAAAAATACTCTGAGAAGAACAGAAGTGAACTTCATCAAATTGATGAATGACATTTTTGAAGAGCCCACATCATACTCAATGGGTAAAGACTAAAAATTTTTCCCTAGGATAAGAAATAAGACAAGGGTGCCTGCTTAACCACCATTGTTCAACACTGTCCTGGAAGTTTCAGCCAGAGCAATTAGGCAAGAAAAAGAAATAAAATACATCCAAATTGGAAAGATGGAATTAAAATAGTATCTCATCAAAGGACAAGATCCTATATAGAGAAAATCCTAAAGAATCCACAAACATACACAAAAAGCTACAAGAGCTAATAAATGAATACAGCAAAGTTGGTTACAAAATCAAATCAACACATGAAAGTTGAATTTCTATTCAACATCATCAAAGAATCCAAAAAGAATTTTAAGAAAAACAATTCCTTTTACAATAGCATCCAAACATAAAATACAGAGGAGTAAACTTAACCAAAGAAGTAACAGATTTGTACCCCGAAGCATATAAAACATTCCTGACAGAAGTGAAAGATGACCTAAAAAAATGGAAAGATGTCAAGTTCATGGGTTAGAAAACTTAACATTGTTCAGAGGGCAATATCACCCAATGTGATCTACACATTCAACCCAATTCCCATCAAAATTCCAATGGACTTTTTAGCAGAAATAGAAAAGCTAATCCTCAAATACATAAGGAATTACAGGCGACCCCAAATAGTCAAAACAATGCTGAATAAGATGAACAAAACTGGAGAACTCAACTTCTTGATTTCAAAGCTTACTATGAAGTTAATCAAACACTCTGGGTGGGCATAAACATAAATAAAGGAACAGAACTGAGAGTCCAGAAATAAACTCACACCTGCATGCTCTACTGACTCTCAGTAATGGTGCTGAGTGAGACAACAGCGTGTCCACAGGCAAGACAATGAAGGTGAGTCTCCACCTCACACTGTGCACAAATATGAACTCACACTGGCATTGACAGCTTAAATAGAAAAGCTAAAGGAGTGAAACTCTCACGATAAAGCACAGGAATAAACCCTCATAATTTGGGTTGGGCAATATATTCATAGACACAACACCAAAAGCACCAGGCGTGACACTACAAAAGGAAAATAGTCTTCAGCAAAACTTTTACAATTTTACATACCTAAGGATATTATTTTAAAAGTAAAAAAACAACCTATAAGAGAAAATATTTGTTTCTCATACTTATCTGATAAGGATCTACTACCCAGTATACATAAAGAACGCCAAAAGGCCAACCTAACTTTAAAATGGGCAAAAGACTTGACCAGATATTTCTCCAAACAGGATACACAAATAGCCAACGAGCACACAGAGCTATTCATTATGAGTCATGAAGAAAATGCAACTCAAAACCACAGTGAGGTGCCACTTTAGTAAAATGGCTAAAGCTTTTTTAAATGAAAAATAATGTGTTGCTAAGGGTGTGGAAAAACTGGAACTCATGTACATTGTTGATGGAAACGGAAAATAGTTCAGCTGCTATGGAAACAGTTCTGTAGATCCTCAACAATTTAAAGAAAGAAATCATAGAACCCCATGAAACTTCTAGAAGAAAACAGGGATATGCTCCTTGACATAGGTCTTCATGAAGATTTCTTGATTTGACCCCAAAAGCAAAAAAGGAAAACAAGTGGGACTGCATCAACCAAAAAGCTTCTGCATAGTAAACAATCATCACAAAATGAGAGAAAACATTTGCAAATTACATATCCAATATAAGGTTAATATCCAAAATATATAAAGAACTCATGGAACTCAATTGCAAAAAAAATCCGATTGAAAAAATTGGCAGAGGGCCCTGGCTGGGTAGCTCAGTGGGTCAGAGCACTGTCTGGATACGCCAAAGGTTGCAGGTTTCCTCCCCCACACAAACAAAACTACCAATGTACACACGAGTAAGTGGAACAACAAATCGCTCTCTCTCTCTCTCTCTCTCTCAAATCAATAAATAAAAAAGTTTTTAAAGGGGCAATGAAACTGAATAGACATTTTTTCAAAGACACAAATGGCCAACAGGTACATGAAAAGGTGCTCAATATCACTAATCATCAGGAAAATATAAATCAAAACCAAAAGCAGATAGTCCCTCATACCTGTAAGAATGGCTACCATCAAAAAGACAAAAATTAACAAGTCTTGGTGAGGTTATGAAGAACAAGGAACACGTGTGCACTGTTGGTGGGAATGTAAACTGGTACAGCCACTATTGAAAATAGTGTGGAGGTTCCTCAAAAAATTAAAAATAAATTTGCCATATGATCCAGCAATACCTTCTGTGTATATAACCAAAGGCAATAAAAATAGGATCTCCAAGAAATATTTACACTTCTATGTTTGTGGCAACATTATTTACAATAGCCAAGCTATGGGAACAACCTATGTGTCCAACGATGGGTGAGTGAATAAAGACGCGGGGGGTAGTGTGTATAGATATGCATGTGTCTATCTAAATGAGTAACAGAATGCTGTTCAGCCATAAAAAAGAAGTTAAACCTGCATCTGCAACAACATAGAAACCATCTGCAACAACATAGAAAGACTCAAAGGACATCGTGTTAAGTGAAACAGCCAAATGAAGACAGACAAATACTGTACAGTGTCATTTATATGTGGCATCTAAATAAATGAATGAATGAATGAATGAATGGAGTCAAACTCAGAAACAGAGTAGAAGAGTGGTTGTCAGGGCCTGAAGGGTGAGGGAATTATGGAGAGGTTGGTGAAAGTATACAGACTGAGTTATAAGATGAGTAAGTTCTGTTACGCCTTAAGAAAAATGAGTAAGTTCTGCATACCTAATGTAAAACACGGTGACTATAGACAGTAACACTGTATTGTATAACTGAAATTGGCTAAGAGAGTAGACCTTAAATTTTCTCATTAAAAAATAAGATGTTAGACATGTTAATTAACTACATTAGGGGGAATTCTAAGTAGAAAAAAAAAATTCCCATAAAACCCAGTGATCCCTTTCCTAAAACTATACCCAAAAGACCAAGTACTCAAAACCAGGTTCACAGCAGCACTGTCTACATAGGTAGAAACAGCCCAAATATCCTTCATGGATGAAGAGCTGAATAAACTGTGGCATTAAATGGAATGCTGAGCTGCTACAAGCAGGAAAAAGTACTGATATAAGCTACATGGATGACCCTCGAAGATGAGCTACGAGAAAGACACAAAGTCACACACCGTATGGTTCCATTTATGTGAAACAGCCAGAACAGTTAAATCCGCAGATGCAAAACGCTGAGTGGCGGCTGCCTAGGGCTGCGGGAAGGGACACAGAGAGCACCTGCTTCATGGGTTAGCTCTCCTTCCGGGGCAATGGAAGTGTTTAAAAATCAGAGGCGGTGCTTGTGCCGTGTTACGCATGTACTAAGTTCCAAAACACTGCTCACTTCACAACCACTATGCACGTTACATCATTTTACCTCAGCTAAAAAAACAATATGAAAACTTTCAACTTAACGTTTACACATGTTAGAAGATGTAGTTCAAGAGTATCTTAAGAAAAGAGATGCAATCCCATTCCCTATCTTAGGACTTCCAGCCACCCAATGTAAATTTATTTTATCTCTTAAGACTCATGGGGAGAAAATATTTTAAGTCATAAATCCCAAAGACAGAGAAAGAAATGAAAAAACGATAGCAACCCTTTCCAATACTCATTTCATTTTTGCTTACACTTCAATTCTCTGAACACTGAATGGGGAGCAACTGGATGGGGAGAAATTAAGGTATGCTGAAAGTGAAAGCAGAATTTAACTAGGATATTGAAAAGGTAAAATTTTTAAGCGTTGGCCAAGTTTAAACTGGAGCCTAAAAATTAAAGAACATAAACGCACAACATGCTGCAGAACAGGCTGCAAAGGACACTGCGGAACAACCGGGCTGAGACCACGTCTCACCTCGCTGTCCAGGAAATCGGAGAGGAGCTTCAGAACACTCTTGGCGGTAGCAGTCACTTCTTCAGCTTTCGACTCTTGCTCATCACCAGTGTTTATTTCTGCACCTTCGCTTTCCGTGGCTTTGATTTTTTTAGTTGTAAACGGTTCAATCCCAAATGTCATCAGCTGGTCGAAGATCGCCTTTAAAGCACTGATTTTGAGTGTCACGTCGTCAATCTGCAAAACCTAAATTGAAACACCCCCAGCCAAAAAAGCAAATTCAGTAGCCTTTTAATTACTATGCTGCATAAAATTACTTTCTTAGTCTAATTTCATAACAGTATCAAGCCTCCATAAAATAACATTTTTTAAATAATTAAAATTTCCATTTTTAGTTATTTTTCTGTTTATTTGCCCTATAACACTTAGTTACACTTCCTTCAGAAAAAGTGCATCTTTAGTCAAAAAGTAGTCTGAAACTACTATCAGGCTGAAATATTATATGTTCCTTTTATTTTAAAAAAGTAAATACGGCCCTGGCTGGTGTAGCTCAGTGGATTGAGCACAGGCCTGTGAAGCAAAAGGGGGCCGGTTCAGTTCCCGGTCAGGGCACATGCCTGGGCTGCAGGCCAGGTTCCCAGCAGAGACACGTGAGAGGCAACCACACATTGATGTTTCTCTCCCACTTTCTCCTTCCCTTCCCCTCTCTCTAAAAATAAATAAATAAATATTTTTTAAAAAATAATAAAAACAAAAAAAGTAAACACGGTCTACGGCCATACCGCCCTGAACGTGCCCAAACTCGTCTAGAAAAAGGAGACTCGGGTGGAAGCTCTGCCCCTGGAAGCAGCCGCCTTGCCCAGGCCTATTCTGTGTGACTCCAAGAAAGTCATAAACATTTTCTACAAAAATAATACATAAATAAATAAAATAAAAAAGTAAGTATGTTCAACTATGACTTTATTGCTTATTTTTTAAAGATTTAGAAAACCTGGTCAATTAGCATTGAAATTATTTTTAAGCTACCTATCAACACAACACAATTATTCTAACCAATAAAAAGCATTAATTAGAAAATCAATAATCTTCTAGGTTATCAAGTTTCATTAAGGATTTTTCTTTTATTAGCTCAGTATTCAGATTTCATTAACAGTGAATTCAGTTTTCAATGAACTGGACTGGACTCCTTTATAAAAGGAGGTAAACCAGAAGGCCCAGCAATTTGTCTGAGTCTATCCTGATATAAGAAAGACAAATTCCTACATATCAAATTTCAAAACCATGAAAAAATAGAGCTGATTATTTCTATTATAAAGAGATGTACTATATTCTTTAATGCTCTTAAGTTTTGGTGAGTGATAAACTACTCAGCTATATAGTTTTGCCTTTAGAATCAATAAGATTCCACACATAACTTTTTACTTCATTTGAATCTATCATTCACAACATAACATTTTCATTTCAAAAAACTTACATACTTATTTTATTCAGGCAAATATTAATAGCAAGTCCCTGAAAAAGAGTAAGTTTAGAAGTAAAAGTTGTTTAAACTAAAAAAAGAAGAAGAAAAAAAAGGGTAAACTTTAATTCCGTGACAAGGGGAATCTTTGGTTCGATATTAAAGAGGTAAAACTGCGGAACGGTCCTGACAAGAACAATCGTCTATCTTTCGCACCAGCCTGCTCTGGACACACTTCACGCTGCAGAAAATCACACAGGCGCACACAGTGTCACGGCCCCTGAGGCTCTGTCCCTCAAGCAGGGAACTGCGGTGACAGTCACCCCAGAATGCTGCTGGCAGGACACCCGTGAGCACTAAGTTCACACAGCATTTCTTCTGTCTGAAATGACCAAACCCCATATTATTACTGATACGATGTCAGCCAAAATTAAAAGGGTCAAAACTCACATTTCCTCTTTAAAGTCGAGTGAAGCGAAATACCTTTTGAAAGACTCCTATCACGTTTCTTTTGGTCTTTTTGTAACTGTCCACCTCCACTCTCCTGTCAGAGCTGCAACCTTGACCTCAAACACGTGCAGTGTTGCAGCGGCACTCACACTGGTGTCCAGGGCACCTTGAACGTTCCACCTCGTTTTTAGAGCCACAGGAGCGACTTAGTAGGTTAGACATGAACGAACCTTTCACTACCAAAGGTTCTAGTAAGGTTTTTCTTACACACACACATACACACAAAATAACAGGAAAAAAAACCCGGCAACCTCTCTGCTGAGTATCTACCCGAAAAATTGGAAAACATTTCTCTCTAAAGATGTATGTACCCCTTTGTTCACTGCAGCACTATCCACAGTGGCCAAGACATGGAAACGACCAGAGCCCTTCAACAGAGGACTGAATAAAGACGGACACACATTAAATAAACGACTACTCGGCCATCAGAGATGAAACGCTGCCATTTGCAGCAACATGGACGGATCTTGAGAATACCATGCTTAAGTGAAATCAGACAGAAAAAGTCAAGAGTGGTATGACTTCACTCCCATGTCGGGTTCTAAACTAAAAGCAACAAATGAACAGATTGAGTATTTTATGAAAAACAATCAAGATTTTGTCACAAGATAAATCTTACCTGCAACAGTAATACGAAGTGTTTACTTGCAAAATTCCGACTCTGCAGTCCACAGCAACCCAAGCATAAAATAGCCAGATTTCTTACTACAGGATGAACACTTACTATTCCAGGAAGAATCTGAAATGAATCGGAAAGTATAACAATTTTTATAGGGACAAGAAATTCACAACAGTATATTAAAAACATGGCCAAAATAACTTCTGTACGATTTTAAAGATCTGCACTTCCATACAGTCTACTAACTCCAAGAAGCCCACTTTCAGTTGAAAAGGTAAACAGTGAATTGCTAGCACCGAAGACTGCAGCCAGAGTGACAGTCTGACCCGAGATGCCTCCCCTGCTGACACGTCCTCAGTGGCTGCCCAACACTCGCAGGTCAGAGATGAAACCCTTTAAACGAGACACAGAACGTGTCTCGCTGTGCACTCACTCCCAGAACCATCCCGTGTCCTGCTGCCCCTGCTCTCTGCCGATTCAGCAGGTCTGCCCGGGACGCCTCCCAGCCAGTGCTGTCCAATAGAAACGCAGTACAAGCCACTTACGTCACTTTTCATTTTCCAGGAGCCACATTAAAGTAAAAGCCTATAAAACGGATCTTAGTATGCTTTGTTTACCTGATATAACTCAAAGGTTATCATGAATCATGTACTCGATGTATAAGCATTAAGATCATTTACATTCTGTTGTTTGGCACTAAGTCTTCAAAATCCAATCATGTATTTTCACATTTCCAGCACATCTTGGTTTGGTCCAGTTTTTAATAACAGGTACGTGTGGCTAGTGGCTACTGTATTGGAGAGCAGGTCTAGAACATTCTTTCCTCCTTCTTCACACAGTTAATGTCTACTCAGATATCAGATGACGGTCACTGTCCATGAACATACCAAGTGCCACTGCTGTAAGTTCACATATGACTATACAGTTCTATTCACAGCAATTATCAGTGGCCTCGGCGCCCACTTCTTATCTCACTGGAAGGTCCGTGAGAGCAGCCTACACGTTTTGAACACCGTGTATACAGTATCCCTAGTATCTAGTATACAGTAGATGGACAATAAATATTCGCTCAATTAATTTATGATTTTTACCTAAAGAATACTAATTTCATCAAAACATTTTAACTCCTTTATCCAAATATCTTACTCACTTACATCCCTCTACATGTAGTCTCTTTCGATCTTTAAACACAGGTACCTTTTATACACTTAAAATCACTGTGACCATTCAATTTTGTGTAATCTTCCCTCGACACTGTAAGTTTTCCCACTAAAATGGAGATTACCTATAAAGAGCTACTTCAGTAAAAAGTCTTTTAAACATACGGTAATAAACAAACTCCTCTCACATGGCTCACACTGAATCTTTCCATACTCTTACAATACAGCAAGATTCCAGTACTTAAATATTCCTGCACTATTTCCTCTTACTACTCAAAGAATAAAGATCTTCCAGCATAATTGTTTTCAAAATTTTTAAAGGAATAACTATATACCAGGTCCTTTATATGAATTATCTTAATTTAATCCTCACAATATGATTGCAGCCACTGAATTTTTTTCTACCATTTATATTTTTCAGACATTTAAAATAGTCATCTTTTCATTCTTTTGAACCCAAGGAACATATCACTTATACAATGAAGCTTACGCACTATCATAAGCTTCAAAGGCCACCAACATACCAAAGATTCGACGATGCCGTTCACGGTGGCACTTAGCCCGGTTGAGGCGGAAATGTGCTTCAACAGTTCGTAACACAGGATAAGACACTTCTGTAGTGTCTCGGCATCATCCTAAAATGACACACAAAATATTCAGCATTAGTAAGAACACCTTTTGCCCATTCCTTAAATGTTTGCCTTCTCAGGGGTTTTTTTTTATTGTACGTTTTCCATTACCATTTACCCCCCACACGCCCTTGCTTTCCTAGGCACGGTGTCTCTCTGACACGCCATCCAGCCACGCACCTTCATGTGCCGTGAGTGAGCTAGCCCGGCGGCACTGAGTTTCAGATTCTTAGACACACTGCTAGCAGACATTTCCTCCTCTAGGTTCCACAGGCTTCCCAAACTCCAAATGCCCAAAAGGGAGCTAACTCATCACTACCCAAGTCCCTCCGCCTCGGGTGCTAGCTCCATAGTATCGCTGTCATCTACCCAGCTGCCCAAACCAAAAGACTAGCAGACATTCCGGACAAGCTCTTCTCCCTCCTGCTAATTCCTAAGTACTTCTCCGATCTACCACTTCTTTCCGTGTCCCCCATCATCGCCTCATTCAAACTGCAACCACTGCAAGCCGACATCACTCCAAGTCCGCCAGCAAGCATGCCTGCCTAGGCTTCAACACACTGCAGTCCATGTCCTGGACGACAGTGACCTTCCTAACACATGAAACTCATCCATCCTACCACTTCAACCCTTCCGTGGTTCGCCACGATCCTTGGCTAGCACAAATTTTTAATTATTGCTTATACAAGGTCTTGTATGAACGGACCCTTAATTCCCATCCCCAAATTTCTTTTAACTCTCCCGCTCAATTCTCTAGACATGTGAACCTGAAGTGTTTAAACACAAGATGCTCTTTCACTTCTGAGCCTTCACACACGTCGCTCCAGCTGCCTACAACACCCCCTTAACGATTCACCGCAGAGACAACACAGGGTGAACTAACAGCACGACTCTAAAGCTGCCTGCCTGGGTCTGAGTTCTGCCTCCACCCTGTACTATCTGCGACTTTGGGCGAGTGACCTGCCCTCTGTAATGTGAGAACCACAGTTCCAACATCACAAAGGTTATCGCGAGAATCAGATGCATTCGCACTCATGAAGCGCTGAAAGCAGTGACAACCAGAGAAAAAGTATCCTGCTTACAGTATTTTTACTCAAATCACAAGTCACAACATTTTTTCCTCTGGGGAAGCCTGCAACACCCCCTGGGTCAGACAGCTAAGAGGGAAAACCACTGCACTATGCATGAAACCCTGTACTTCCCCGACCATAGCATGTACTATGCTGCGCTGTAATCGTTCCGTAATTATGACCCTGAACTAGGAAAAATGAGCACGTAAATCGTCAAAGCAAGTCAAGTTACACAGATGATATTAATCATGGTAGACTACTTTTGTTAATATTTTCCTAACTTAGACCTGCCTTTTATATGGTTTTTCAGTTTGTAATATATTTTTTCATTTTACATTTACTCCTCAAATTTAAGAGCCTATAACAATCCACAGACTTTGCAAAACAGATACAAGCTACTAGCTAGGAAAATGAAATTCAGCATAGCCATTGGGAAGGTGGGGGTGCGGGAGGTGTCTGCGGCTAAGAGCTCAAGGACTAGATGACAGAAAGCTCTGGTACGCTAACTCCTCCCCCGCCAGCACGGTCTCCTGAGAACACACTAATTGGCACTTCCCAAACCAGTACAGTAATAAATGGTCTTTACTACAGGAGGTAAGATCCTAAAAGGCCTCCTGAATTAAGTTAATATCACATAGCACAGTAACTGAGACCATTCTATCTTATGTTAAAATAAGACTAGTTTGTCCAGTACTACTAAGTTGAGAAAAGACTGCTGAAACTTAGCTTTAAATGTTGCTAGATACAAAAGTTTACTATTTCACTGAAAACCAAGCTACCTAAGCTTTTTCTAAAAACTAAAATACAGTCACATACCACATGAGGTCCAGTCGGTGATGGGCCATGTGTACCCCAGGGGCCCCATAAGACTGCAGTGGATTATAAGCACAGCTTGTCTGTGATGTGGAAAGAAAAGGCTGGACCTGACTAGGTGTTGAATTTACTGCTGGCTCTGGGTGGTTTAAGAGGCTCAGCAAGCTGTCTACTCGCTGTGCACCAGCCAGTGGCTGGCCCGGGGCTTGGCAAGGGAGGGTGGGGAGAAGGCCGGGGGCGGAGGGGGGAGGGTCCTGGGAGCCAGCCGCCACCTGCACACACGGGAGCACATGTCGCACAAGCACCGGGTGCACCAGCTCCCTTCCGCTCCATAGCTCCCTTTCCTCCCAGTCCTGTTTCTATCTCGCTGCTCTCTCACCCTCTTGCTCCCTCGCTCTCCATCCCATCTCCCTTTTATTATTTCTGGTCTCAAGCTTTATCTCTGCCTTTCAATGTCCGCCCTTCCCTTTTCTTCATTCCCTCACTCCCTTCTTCTGAGGTGCACTCGCCCTCAGGTGGCACCTCCCTCCACAGCCCCTGCCCCCAAACGTGTGCGTGACAGCACACACACACTGTACCTGTTGCACTGTATCCTCACTGTACCTTTACTGTGTTTAGATACGCCAGTGCTGACCACTGTACCAGAGCTGTATGGAGTGTATTAGTCCCATGCTGTGCAGGCTTGCGGCCTAGGGGCCAGGGGCTGTCCCCCACCACCTAAGTGCGCAGCAGGCCTGCCATCCAGGTGTGTGTGAGTGAGATTCGCACAATGGCAAAACCGCCACACATTTCCCAGAATTTATCCCTGTTACGTGATGAGTGACCTGGGTGAGCTTTACAACGCACGTGTAAAACGGTGCAGTGACCACTGACATTCTGTTCCCACCAGCAGAAAGGTCACGAGCCTTCCACAAACAAGGGAAAGGTAAGGAAACAGATAGGTGTCTTTTCCTTCCCTGAACCATTCAAGACAAACAAACAAAATAAGCCAACCAGAAGGAAAACACTGGAAGGCCAAGACAACTTCAGATTCCAGGGATTAGCACTGAAGAGAGCACCTCAAGTCTTAGCTACAATAATTAAAGTTAACGAAGGCCTTTCAAAGCTCGAAGTAGAAAGGATGAAGAGTGCAAAAAATATTTCCGTATTAATTCATAGTACTGTTAAAAACCCCTCCAGCGTGAATATATTCTGGCAGCTTTCTGAGTTAAGAAAACAAGGTTTAGTTGAGACAACTGGCAGCTGAAATTTGGTATAAGAAGTTATCTATACCTTTTCTCCATGGACTTCTTTAATTTCAAGCCGCTCTGTCTCTTTCAATAGGTTTACTCTGGCATCTTCTAATGCTTTTATTTCTTCTTTTAATTCTGATGCTTGATTAAAATCCTGTAAGGCAATGCAATTTTCCAACGCTTCTTTTGCCTCAATAAGTTTAACTTTTATTTCAGCCATCTAGGAAAGATACAAAGTGCTTGTGTGAATACTGAACAAACTATTCACACGAAAACCTGCCGCAAACTGAGGAGCACGACTCAACATCCCTGCCTCCCAGAAATTCATCAGTCGGGCCCAGGCCAAGCCGCCGTCTTCCTGAAAGGGAGGCCTCCCGATCTTTCAGACAGACACGGTCTGGCACCATGTCAGATACTCTCACAGGTTAGGAGTTAGCCAGTAGTCTGACCTTGTGAGAACAACTCTGAACAAGTACGGCAAGAGGGAATAAACGACGTGACGACCACATGAGATTCAGGGGTTTCTTTAATGTAGGAGAGACTTACCTTGAGTTCTTTCTTTCTCGCATCAGCTGGATCATTTTTAACAGCCTCAGTAACAATGGGGGCCCGAAGCTCTGAAATAATTTCTGAAACCTGGTAAGTAAAGTTACAGTTCGGAGTACACGCTTTAATACATGTTATACATCAGAAAGTGACATCAAACTGCTACATAAAACTCCAATTAGCATCCACAATCTTAGGAAAAATAGAACGAAGTATACAAGTGAAAATGGTACACATTCTCTTTGCTGATATATCTCTAAAAACTCTAAGATTATGGGAAGATAACAGGCACATAGATATTGAAGATAAGTTTTCTACTCTGCCTAAAATCTGTACCTCCCTCCCTAGTTCAGATCCATGGGAGCCAAATCCTCACTTATCGTTCCTCTGGATATACGAGGCATAAATGATGGCAGCACAGCTGAAGACCCTCCTTTTAGAGTCCCTAGAGCTGGCAGATTCAAGGAGGCTGAGCCCCGAGGGTGCTCACGCAGGCCCTGGATAACCATCGCAGGGAACGCTGCAGAAGGGGTTTCTGTGTCAGTGTGCGCACACCAGGAGGGCTGGGAGAGACACCTCTGAGCCACCGTACAGCCCGGTGATGGTATGGCTTTAGGAAAAGCAACGTACAGGTCTGTCTTTTTTGACTACTTCAGAGAGAGTAACACTTGGCAACAGTCGTATTACAGTATGTTTCTTTCTGTATTGACAAAGCAGTTTATGAACATTATTTCACTGAACAACGAAAGGTAAGCTTTATTGTTATTTTTATTTTGCAGACAAGTAAAAAAAAATGAAAATTAAATCACTTGCCCCAAATCACAAAGCCATAAAGTGCCAGAGGGGATTTGAACCCAGGTATGTATGACGTGAGCCAGGTGTCACACTGACAAATGCCCGACGTCACCTCTTCCCCTAAACTGCTCCATTTCCAAGTGACACAATACTGAGTGTGCCAAGAGTAGATGATTCTTTTTTAATCATAGCAACAATATATTATCCTGTCAACTGAGTTTATTCTTTTGTAATAGTTCATTTTTCGTTGCATTTTGTTTTCCATCACCATTTATCCCCCACACGCTCCTCCACCTCCACTCACCGCTCCCTCCTGCGATCGACGCCGTTGGCCGCACCCCTGAGTTCTCAGGAGGAGATATTTGTTGGAATGTGTGTGCGTGTGAGAGATTTTGATTTAAGTTTAAAAACTTGATAGAGAGACAACATGAAAACAAAGGCAGTTAAAGATAAAGTGAAAAGTACTGAAAAGAAGCTAAGGCAACCCTCACGCATCGACCGGCAATGAAGAAAACTACTCACAATCTGTGTTCTCTTGTTATCATCCACAACGACCTGGAGCAGTCTCTCCACGAGGAAGGAAACCAGGCCCACCGGGGTTGTGGGCAGAGTGAGAATCTCCTGTAAAACAGCCAGCAGTCGCTTCCTGTGTTCAGAGAAGACCAACTTAACTTAGACACCTCGGGAGGACCACCTGGTAGCTCTCACATTTCACCCAGTCCGCACACAGAACACATTTCTCTCGGCTCTTTTTTATATGTCACTTTAGGTACAAAAATATATGCACAGATTTTAGATCAAAAATTCATGTTCTGGAAAAGAATTTCTGTAAATCATCTGAGAATCTTTCACAAATTAACATGACGATGGGACAAAACACCAGAAGTGAATCGAATGTATTAGGCAGTATTACCAGTCCTCTGTCATGAAGACAGCTTTTTAAGCATAAGCCTGCAATTTCATTGATTTGTTATGAAGAAGATGAATTAAGACCTCCTATGTTTTATATTTTATTCACACACACACACACGGGGGAAGAGAGGAAAGGATATATTTTCTATTATATATTATACATATAAAAAGAGAGTACTTTTTATAATATGCTAGAAAGCTATGTTGGTTTGCAGTTTTGAATATGCAAAATAGTTTATTCTTGTATTACTTATTATTGTATTATTTTCCATGCAAACCTCCTGCCCATCCCTTTATATTTAATTATATGGTAACAAGACTGTATTTCAACACAGGATGAGAAGAACAAGTTACAAGTAAGGTTAACAGTTAGACATACCTTCCTCCTTCCTCATTGGTATCCAGACACTTGATAATTAGAATCAATTGCTGACCTATGAACTCTTTTGTCATCAAATGTCCAAAAAAGGCAAAATCATTTCTCTGTTCATCATTAACAACTGGAATACTCTGAATATAACTAAAACAAGAAGAATTAGTAAAGTGTAGAATGTGTTAAGAAACATTAAACAGCTCCCCATTAGGTGAAAAAAGGTTTTTTCTTTCTTCAGTTCACATTAATATAAATATATGGATGCTTACACTACATGACACTTATCTGGTCTATAGAGTAAATTCTCTGCTATTGTCATGAACTTTCCTGTAAAGAAACTTACTGTCTTGAATCAAAAGAATTTGGCAAGTGTATTTTCACTGAAGATTCAAATGGGAAATCTTCAAAAGGCACATATTTATATCTTTCAAACTGATAATTATTTCATTGTCACTAGTAGTCTTATGTTTATTTTTCTATTACAGTTGATATTCAATATTATTTTACATTAGTACATGTCACTAGTATTCTCAACTATAAAGTGCTGAATCTCTTCTCCCAAATCCAATTTCATAAAGAGCGAGTCTTCCGTCATCATCCCTAATTAACCATCATTTTGTTTACAAGGACGGTCGTGCCCTGGCCAGGTGGCCCGTTCGTTGGAGCATCAACCCAGCCAATACCCCAGAAGGCAGCGGGTTCAGTTCCCCGTCAGGACACACACAGGAGGCAACAGATCAGTATGCTCTCTCACATCAGTGTTGCTCTCTCACACTGACGTTTCTCTCCCTACGTCTCTCCTCCTTCCTTCCTTTCTCTCTCTCTAAAATCAACATATCCTAGGGTAAGGATCAAAAATTTTTTTTTAATTTTTAAAAAATAGTAATAATAGGAATTACACAAGTAATCCATGAATACAACGGCCTTTAAAAAACCAGAAAAACATAGATGACTTCGTGATTTTGTATTGTCCTTGCTCGGGGGCCCTACTGTTCTTTGTACTGTTCCTGTTTTAGTGTAAGTTCTACTGAACAGCACCACCGACTACCCTGTATTCCTGCTTCCACTGCCCAGATGGAAACCTTTCACAGTCCTCACCCAGAAAACATTCAACACCCTACCAAACACCTGCCTTTTGTGAATGGGTGCCATAGGGGAACTACTTAAAAGAATTAAGAGTTTAAGTATAAACAACTAAGTGACTCTGGGTTGGAATAAGAAAAACAACAATCGGGATGAAAATGCCATTTTTTAAGTGTCAACAAAAATCAAGCTGCAGAATTCTGTACGTAATTCTGTACATCATTCATCTCATAAATCTCTGATCATGAGATTAGGACCTTTAAGGGCACCAGCCACCCTTTGGGCTCTAGCAGGAAACTAAAGGAAAGCTACAAAACAAATTCTTATCAAAATCAACAGATCAGTAGAATTACTGATTTCTAATGTGCTGAAGTAATCTCTAAATCCCTCTCTACCTTACTCCAGCCTCAGCACAGTGCATAGCATCAAAGAGTGGGTTTCTCAATGTGTAACAAATCCTGAACTGTATAAAAACATAACTTAAAAGGGACCACCAATTTAATCTCCATAAAATCCCCTTTTTAACCAATTTTAAAAATATTCATTCTAATGAAGTGATCGCTCATTTAATATCCCTGATTCCTCAGATAACAGAAAATTGTTTCGTATCAGAATTCTGAGCCACTAACTCTCCCTACTACAAAAGGTGCAAAAATATTTTTTTGAGATTACTATGAAAGATTTTTTCCATGTAATTCTGTTTCTGTATCTGAGGAGAGCAATGCTATCCAGTAACACTCCTCCAAGAAGAAAATCATTCTATTTCTTAAGAGTTCTTTAAAGAATAATTAAAATACAACCTTTTAAGTTTTCCTCTCTATAAGTGAAAAAAACAAGTGGACTGAAGTTATTTCAAAACTCACAGATTAAGTGACAAGAAATATAAGAAGGAATAGAACTCTTTACATGTCAATCTTAACCAAGAATTAACCACTTGGTGAAGTGGGCCTTGGAGACGCCTCCCCTCTCCGCTGTTTAAACATTTAACATATCCTCGTTATTTTTAGATCTTCTCTATCTTCTATAAGTATTTATCACTTTTACACTAATCTATGTTACTAAGCATTATATCAAATTCATTCTTTGAAAATATTTCAACATGATCCAAACAGCATTATAATGAACGCTCTACTTAAGTGTTAAAACCTGAAGTAATTACCATTAAAATACTTAGTAGATTCATACATTTTTCATGGTGTTATTATGACCTTAAGCTATGAGTTTCCATATTTGCTCACATTTAAGAAATTTATCCTGGATTTAATATTTTGCATGTGAAATTCAAATGCATTTATAGCTTTGCTCCCTAACTTAGATGTGAAACTCTAATAAGCAAAATCAGAATAGTGTTATTTCATACAAAGAAATTTCAGGACCATAATTCATATTACAGGCAAGCTTTTATAAATACACCAAAAGCAAAGTTAAAAATTGACACACTAATTATCTATCAAAATGTGTATAATCTTTGGCCCAGCAATTCCACTTCTGGGAATCAACCCCACAAAATCGCAAGCATACAAAAAAAAGTACTAGGAAGTTTTACACACCTTTAATAGCAGTGAAAACTGTAAACAAAATACCCATCAACAGAGGAGGAAATTAGATGATACCACCACGCTATGGAATAATATGCCGTTGCTCAGGCCGGGACAGATGTATATACACCAACATATAATGATCTCAAACATCAGTAGTTAAAAAAAATGTGTATAGTGTGCGATATTTAAAAAAGCATCTCTGCATTTAGTTTATGTATATGTAAATGTTGAGAAAGGTATGAAAGTATACACCCCAAACTGTTTAGCTGTTAACTCCAGGGAAATCCATGAAATTAAGGAATTAGAAGATAAAAGAGGGAATTCACATTTTTATTCTATATACATCTGTATTGGAATTGACAAGAATGCACTTGTATTTCACTTCTATAATTTTAAAGTGAAATAGGTAGAAATCAGAGTAATTCAAGTAACTGTTTTTAAAAGTCAATTTTGAAAAAATTTTAAAAAACCAAAAAGCCAAATAGTACCATCTGTAATTAAAACTAAAACTGGCCACAAACGCCCATCCCGTCAGTTGGCAACCTGTGACCCGTGCAGCAGATCCAGCCTACTGCTTCTTTCTCTATAGCTGGCAGGCTAAGATTTGTACATTTTTAAATAGTCGTTTAAAATAAATATCTGTATGAGAAATATTTACGTGTGTAAATGTACACATGTGAAATATTAAACAAAATTCCAATTTTAGCGTCAATAAAAGCCTCATCAACAGTCACACTTAGGCATCACATACTGTCGTTGGCTATTTTTGCATTGCCACAGGAGAACTGCTTCCTTGTGACAAAGACAGTGTAGCCCGCATACTCTAAAATACTTACTTCCTGGCACTTAGAAAAAGTCTGCCAACCAATTTCAGAGTAAGACATCATCAACTTCACAGAGAGATACTTGACAGGTTCCAGGAAATGTCTCTAAATGTACTGATTTTACTCTTTCTTCAGAAAGACTCAATGCACATAACCTGTTTATCCCTGCCTGTCCAAAAACACGGTTTTTAACTTATTCCCAACCAGGCCTGTCTCTGAGGGAGGAGGACAGAGACCAACACAGGGAGCAACACAAGCACATTCCAAACCGAAGCAAAAAATTGTACCTCCGTAAATACTCAGCGTACACCACAGGCTCTGGCAAAATCTGCTCTAAAAATTCTTCGCCTTCATCTCCTTTTGACTTCAGGTATTCACAAAGGGCATGCCAATACAAAGCAATCTCAGGAGTCAGTGTTTCCATTGGAATCAATTTCCTTCATTTTAAAGGGAGAAAAAAGAGAGAGCACCATTTTAATATGCAGTTGAAAATTTGTACTAAATAAAAATGGAAATGAGAAGCAAACCAGACATGTAACCACCAATCTTTTAAAAACTGCAAAGTCATTAAGTGATCTGCAAAAAAAGAATGAAAAAAATTGAGACCAAAAAAATCAATCAAAGGAGCGAACATACTTCCTATAGGGATGCATGCTCTTGAACTTTCCACAGCAGGCTAATGCAAAAATCAAAATAACAAAATTAAAAAAAAAAAACAATGCAGCTCAAGTAGTCTATGTAAAGAACTGAGTTCTTACATAAGGAAGAAAAAAGACAAAAATGGCATCCACCTGGGTAAAAACAAAAAAGAGAGGGGCAGATAAAAAGTACTAAAGGAATGGGAGGAGGAAACTAACCTTCATTACAGAAGTTCATCAGTATCACATTTCAATACAATTCAACTTATAACGAATACCTTACACACCTGTCGTTGTTATTTTTACAGATTTCTGCCAGTTCATTAAGGGGAGTCACTGAAAAGAAGGCATTGAGCACAGAGACTGCCACTTCGGAAGAGTTTTCCACATCCAACCGGTGCAGCAACTCTAATATGTTTCCGTCAGTAAAACGGAGCCAGCCTCGGAGAAGGTGCTTCTGCGTTGCTTGCTTCACAGCTTCTGTTAGGTCATTTGAAATACAGGTAAACAGAGGCTTTCTCTAGCTTCCATTTCCTGTATTTTGTCTATTTTCATTAATTCATCAGGTCAGTCTTAACATTAAGTTGATTTTTACAATAGAAATGGAAAGAGAATAAGAGGCAGAACAAAGCACACTAACGAAATAACAGAAGTACAACGATACTGCAAAAATCACTATGATGCTGATTTCCAAATAAAAACGAAAAGGTCAGAAGTAAATACACAACCTTGCATTTCTCCTCTAGGTTCAGGGAGCCTCGGGTCTTAGTCTAGACTGCATAACACCTGTTACTGCACTTGCTGACCGACTTCCTCTGTTACATGAGATGCTATTTGTCGTAGTGATTTGTGCAAACATATATGACTGAACAAACCTTATCCTCAGTTTTCAGTCACCCTAATCATTAATCCTGCGACAACTAATGTTCTCAAACTGAGGTTTTCTTGCTACAGCAAAATTAAGCCATTTTAGCCTTCTCATAGGGACTGGAAATTTAAACTAAATCAGGGGCATCAAACTCATTTTCGGGGGCCGCATCAGCCTCACGGTTGCCTTCAAAGGGCCAAATGTAATTTCAGGACTGTGTAAATGTAACTACTCCTTCACAGTTAAGCAAGGGCTCGGCGCTGCCACTGAATAGAAACAAGGTGCCCGGCTGGATAAAACAAGGTGGAGGGCGGGACTGGGCCAGCGTGCCTTGTGTTTGCCACCTGTAAGATCATTCCTCATCATGCTTGTAAGCAGATGCTCTAGTTTTCACATAAGAGGAAAAAAAACCTAAGAAAATTATATTAGTATGGCCATTCCTGATTGCTGTTTCCAATGCACAAAACATATTCATAGCAAGATATGCAGGGGGGGGACCCAAAACACCGGAATTTACTTATAAAAAATTCTGTATTTATTTATTCTCACATGTTTAAACTTCAGTCACCTTCAAAGTACTATCCATTCGACACAATACATCCATGGAGATGTTTTTTCCACTGTTCAAAAACAGTTTTTAAACTCATAGATTTTGATGCCTCTTAGTGCTTTGGCCTTTTTTTTTGTTTCACCTCTTCCACATTGGCAAAATGTCTCCCTTTGAGGACTTTTTTCATCCAGGGAAACAAAAAACAGTCGCTAGGGGTGAGATCAAGTCAATAGGGAGGATGAGGCATGGTCATGCTGTTTTTTAGTCAAAAACTGCTCAATATTCAGCATGGTGTGGGCAGGTGTGCTACTAAATCACCCATCACAAAATGGGCAAACGGGTTGAAACAGTCTTCAGAAAAAAGAAAATTCACTCAAGCTGAACACAAGCTCTCACAACGCCAGCTGGTACATTGATACAGGTGGGTTCCTAAAACACTCACCTAGTGGAGGAAGCCTGTACAACAAAGGGCCCACCCTCCAGAAGATAATTCCCCCTCTACACAAAGGAGATAGATAGCATTTTAATAAAAGAGAGAGTGCTAAAAAAGCAATCATGCCCTACTTCTAATATAAATTGGCTCTACAGCTGTTAAGCTATGGTTTCTCCATTTGTAAAACTCAGGAGAACTGAAGCAAACTCTGCTCCTTCTAAGTATAAAGATCTTTAACTTTAGGAAATGTTTTTCTATACAATACACCATGATAAATGTCTATGGGCTATGGAAATAATAGGCTTACTTGACTTAATTTAGGACACCTGTTTCCTAAATCGTTTTATGTCTGAACTCAAAATTGGCGAAAGTTTTGTACATAAAGTTGTCTATCTTACCTGATCTGTCATTCAGACCTTGTTCAAGGAGCATTACTCTCTGAGCAATGGACATAGTTCTCATATGAACCTTTTCAGCTAAAACCTTAAAGAGATGATAATAACAATGATAAAAAGATGGTCATTAAACTCTCAACATAGTTTACGTATTTCATAATGAGTACTATCTCCTTCCCCTAAGAAAATTACCCAGAATCTCTAAAAAATTAATATCTGGTAACATATTAAATTACCTATACTCGCCACATGTACAAATCTCAATTAATGAAATCATTCTTATCTTCCAAATGTTTTTAAAAAGTATTTTAAGAACATGGCTTTTTGACTTTAAAGGCTATACCTACACAAAATATTGAACTTATTTACCTGATAAGCCTGCTTTCTAACGGCCACTTTGACATCCCTGGTGCGCCCTACGATTTTGGACAAAGTCTTTGCTGATGGCACAATACATGATAACACTGCCCGCCTGACTTCTGGGTTTGAATCATTTTCAATCATAGTGGCATACGCTAAAAATAGAGCAACATATTTTAGTACATTAAAGAAACATTTCTCTAACCATAATCATAAGATAGCCCACCATGTGATATTTAATAGCATCTTTAAAAGAATTTAAAAATGTATCGTTTTTGGTCTTATAATACATTTAATTGTGGCTGAAGATTTCTTTCCTGCCAACTTCACTTAAAAAGGACAGCATGGGAAATTACTACACGGACTGGGCATGAGGCTAAACAAAAACGAATAGCACTGAAGATCACGGGAGGCTCATCACCAAGATTATGTATCAGCTAGTCTTCAACACTTAAGGGAATGTAGCAGGCAGTTTATTTTTATACTGATAATGGCTTTTAAAAAGCCTCATTTCTATTTTGATTTATAATGACTTCTAAAAAAATAATTTCTGGTTTTACTGAAATAAAATCTATTCCTGTATTTAAATGTTTATTCAAACTCTACTTCTCAAACTTTTCGTAGCTTCATGAACAAACACAAACACGTTTTCTACATGATGATTGTATGGATCATTTAACACCAAAAAATATCAGCTACTGCCAGTTACCAAAATTGATTACAAAGCTAGTAACAGGAAGGAAGAGAAAAATGAACAGAAGCGTGCCCCAAATATACTTAAGCTGTCTTTATGAGCCCAGTAGAGAAAATCTTCTTAAATAAAAGACAAAAAGTGCAAATGATAAAGAGATTGACCATCTTGACATTAGGAATTCTGTCCAACAAAAGACATCCCAAAAGTGAAACAATAAGCCATCTAAAGTAGGAAGAGATCTACAATTTACATAACCCAACAATTTCTTCTCATTATAAAGAACCCCAATAAATCAGTAAGAGAAACCAACAGAAAAATGGGCAGAACACATCAACAAGCATTATATAATAGAAGAAATAGAATTGGCTGTGAAATATCCAAAAAGATGTATAACAATGACATACATCACACAACTAGATAAACAAAAAATTAAAAATCTGACAACACCAAACATTGGAGAAGATATGGATCAATGAAGAATTGTATGCATTCCCCCTCCTACTCCACCAACCCTCACCCAAGGACATATATTCATTGATTTTAGACAGAGAGGAAGGGAGGGAGGGAGGGAGGGAGGGAGGAAGGGGAAACGTCCACTGCCTCCCATATGCTCCCCCACCAGGTACTGAACCCACAACCTCGGCATGTGCTTTGGTCAACTCCTGACCTTTTGGTGCAACAGACAACATTCCAGCCACTGAGCCACACAGGCCAGGGCTACTTACATGCACTTTTATTGGGAATACTAATTGGTAAACTGTTTTACAGAACACTTGTATCTTACCTAATAAAGCTAAATGCACACATATACCCTAGAAACCCTTTCACCTGTGCACCGGAAACCATTTATAAGTTCATAGAAACAACATTGTTTCTTAAGAGCAAAATACGTGAAAACTAGAGGGTCCCTAAGTATTAGAAATAAATTGCATTATGTTCATAAGACAGAATGCTACAAAACAGTAAATAAACAGATTAACATGGATGAATGTTACAGTTAGAAATAGTGTTGAGAGCCCAGAAAAATATAGTATAACCCATATAGCATGCAAAATGATATGTAACATTAAAGATACATACATGTAGTTAATTGTTTAAACAAAAAGATAATTCACCCAAAATCATTACCTCTGTGAGAGAGTGACCTAAGTGGGACCTAAGTTAGGCTCCAAAGTTACTGAGAGGCTATATTTTTGACACTTGGTGGTGTCTTCTTGGGTGTTTTAAAATCATATATACACACACACACACACACATCTTTCATATACATGGTTCCTAATAAAAAATTCACCTATTGACAAGATAACCAAGTCACCAAAACTGAGAAAGCATTTAGGCAGCTGCACATACCATTAGACACTGAGCACTCGTCATCTTTGGGGTCCTGCAGTCGTGAAAGAGCCAGAACAGCCTGTAGCCTCACATTTGGAATTTTATCTTTCAATCTTATAAGCATGGCTTCCTTAATTTTATCAAACAAATCATCATCGATCTGGGCATTTTCTGGCATATTTCCCAAGAGCTTGTTTATGAGCTGACACACTCTAAATCTCACCGCGCTGCTGTTTGCTTCATGAGACTGAAATGGAAACAATCAAAATTTAGTTAACATATCATTACTAAATAATCATATACCATTGGAATTCTATGCTACCTTGATCCACAGGCATACGAAAAATACATTATACAAAGCATACTAAAAATACATTACACAAAAACTCAAAATGTAGAGTTTGAAGTGTTTGCTAAACTACAAGAGTGTATCCATTCCTCTTTGTAGAAACTCTTATTTAGCTTTTAAAATACAGAACTGACTTAAACAAATGTATGAGACCTGGTTTAGAAAGGTCATTAAAAATTTAATGCTGGAGTTTTTTTAAAAGTCCACCTTTTCATCTTAATGACAATTCTAAAAATTCCTATAAAAAGCAGACATTTTCTTACCAGATATTTCAATCTCCCATAGCCCTTTTAGTATAGTAAAATTTTCTACAATTACTACTCCAAAGTTCGAGTTGCCATAATACCTTTAATAGAAAAGAAAACAAATAATCCAAAATGCCACCGCCTTCCTCGTCATCCTCCTCCTCATCTGACTGGTGAAATGATGTTACGAACTTTGCCGCAAACTCTATTACCCTCTCCACAACTGGTTCACGCCTGTAGACCACCATAGCATACTTGAGGTAATGAAGGAATTCCTCGTGAAAAATGGTTTTATCCTCCATCTGCAAGACAAGAGATCCCTTCACAAGCTGCATTGACAAAATCCTTCTTTTTCCCAAAGCTTCAGCCGGGACTCAAACTAAAGCCATTATAAAGTAAACCCTGAACTATCCAAACCATCGAAAGGGAAACAAACTTGCACAAATTTCTCTCCAGAGGGATTTACTTCTCGCAGGAAGAAAACCACCGTGAATTTTGGCAATGAAACGATTCCCTTTTCCCCCCAATATCCCTGAATTCTCAGTATGTGTTGGTACCAGCTTAGTAAAAATACGTTTCATGAACCCAAGATCAACAGTGGCTTTAATGTTTTATCATACTTAGCCTTACTATATTGCACAGAAACCTCCTTTTGATATAACTTTCACATCCTGTCTCACGTCTTTCAAGTCCTATTATTTATGTTGACTTACAACAATTTTTCTTGGACCTCAAGATCATTTATTTTTTCGAAACTCATTGTTCTATTCTTCTCACGGCTCCACTCAAGTCAAACAAAATAAACAGCATTTGCATGAATAAGAAGAGCCAGGTCCATTAATAAGAAAAGCAAATAATTAATTTGCTATTTGGTATTCGATTTCGATTCAATTTAACCATGGGGAGCGGTTAGAGTAGACTGATTGACGGTCGGCGTTTCCGACAAGACCGGAGGGCCGACCGCCGAAGCAGAGCACCCAAGGTCCACCCTGAAGCCCAACAAATGAGTGCCCGGTCGCCTTCAGAGCTCGTACACATTCCTCTCCAAGTTCACCCTCTACAAAGAATTAACAGTCCGCTCTGGAGGCCGTTGTGGAGAGAGGAGTTGCACGGAGATCTCCCTCCGGGTTGCCAGGTCGGGAGGTTTAAGAAGGCTGGAGTCGCGGGGCGACGAGTGTGGAGGATCTCCGGGGGGCGAGAGGTCAGGGTCGAGCACACTTACCGTGCGATAGGTGCGGCTCAGCGCCACCACTAGCTTCGCCTGGTTCTGGTGCGCCTGTTGCGCCAGCTTGAAGGCCTCCTTAATCGGTAGCAGCTTCTTCTCTGCCCCCATGGTGGCCCTAGTTCGCGGGGACGAGCCGTGTCTGCGATCGGCTGCAGCGGGACCAACAGACCACAAGGCTGGTAGCAAAGCCAGCAAAATAGGTTCTGCAGGCCTCTGAGCGATCAGGGCGTGGTTACCGCCGATGCGTTTAAATAACTCCCGCGGGAGAAGAAAATACCGCGAGACTTCCTCGATAGCAAAGGAGACGCGAGCGGGAAGAAATAGATCCACCCACCTCTAAACGCAGCGATGCTGGCGCATGCGCTTAGAGTTTAGCCTGCCGTTTTCCGGCGAAAAGTGGCTTTTCCCAGAGGAGGGGGTCGTTGGCTTGCCCGGAAGTGGTCCGGGCTGAGAAGGCGAACGAAGCGGCGGTGAGGTTGTTGGGACAGAGTGGCGTCAGGCCTACTCTGGTCGCGCAGCTAGGCGTGAGGCGAGGAAGGAAAAAGATCCTCCATGGGTGAGAACAGGGAATCTGCGGCAGGGGAGGAGGGGCTTGTTTGGAGGTCTTGGAGAAGGGAAAGATACGGGGTACTGGAGGCCGAGGCCGCGGCCTGGCTCCTGCTGAGAAGGGAGAGGCAGAGGGGTCCGCGGGGCGGGCCATTGCGCGGTCGCCTGGTGGCGGTGGGCCGCAGTCTTTCTGAGCCCGGGGCCTTCGGTGGAGGCAGGAGGCGAAAGCGGGAGGCCCGCTAGGAGCGGCTGCGGAGGGAGGCGCTGAGTGATTTAGATAACAGCTTACTTGAGATGCGCCGGCTCTCCCGGCCGGGTTTACAAAGGTGCTCCAGGAGGGCGAACGAGAGAACGGCAGCGTTCAGCGTGGTGGGTAAGATAAAGAAGTTCCGAGGGCCTTCGAGCAGAAACTAAGCCTAAACTTTTTTTTTTAATGGGATTCTGTCAGACCAAAATGAGCCAGCTAAAGAAATAGATTACAGAGCCGCCCGGACACCTTTTTCCTTTAAAATCACCTTCCCTCCCCGGTAATAGTGGATTTCCTGAACTTACTGTTAGTTTTCATGTATTAACGGTATACACATTCATCTCTGAATAAGTACGCTGTATCGCTTTGGTGTTCTCATATGAATATTCGAATAAGCCATTTCCTTTCTGCAATCAGTAGTTTTGAAGGTTTGTTTATAGTCATACTTGCATAATAACAACTATGGACGCTTATGTGCCAGACACTGGTCCAAGCAATTTACTTCATTTCGTCTGTACAAACAAGCCCTGTGAAGTAACTTCTGTCTCCTTCTCAGGTGAGGACCCTGAGGCACAGGTTGCTGTAGTACATTATTGCATGACTGTGCCTTAATTTATTCATCCATCCTCTTCATATTCCTAATTCCCGGCACAATATAGGTATTGAAATAACAAAGTAATGAATATGAAAGCATTTGAGTTGCCCATGATTTTTAAATTTATCAAGATGTCTAATTTCTGAAAAAGCATTTGAGCTTAATCAGTTGGTGCAAAAGTGTAGAGGCCTAAGACTGTATGGAGTGTGCTGATAACATTTAGAATCTCACTACAGCTAAAACTCATTGCAGTAGAATGCCCGGAAAGGTGTGGTGAAGAAACCTAGAAAGGGCATTCGTTTTTTAACCAAGTAAATCCAGAATATCCTTTCAACATGCTATCAACATAAATAATAAGTTACATCTTCCCCCAAGTCTTTAAACTGAGTATTTTATACTAACCATAATTCGAGTCCTCGATAGACACATAGGGCAAGTGGCTACAGTCTCGGATAGTACAGAACTATTCTTACTTTGAGAACCTCTGTATATACCTTTTTTTTTAATGTAAAGTCTTATGGTAAACTAAAAACTAGAACAAACTAATATTTGGAGGCATTTTCTTATTTTGTGGCCTTTAATTGCTCAGCTCTCTTATGCCTTAGATGTCTGCCAACTTTTATTTTTTTGGCTGTGAAGTTTCTAACAGTATTATTTCCTTTGCTGTGTTGTAGTTGGCTGTCTCACTACAAATCAGATGACTTCATACGATTTTGTCAGTTACTGAATGATGAGGTGTCTGGCCACCAGAGGTCAGCCTAACTATATTTTAATGAGCGGGGGATTTTTTTTGTTTTGTTTTTGTTTTTAAGAATTAGTAATTTTTTTTGTTCAGTATTTTTTGAACATTATAATCTGGAAAAATTTTTTTAAGATTGCAAAATGAAAAGATAACCTTTGCAATGAGAGAAATAATTTGCAAGCCATGTATCCCATATACCCCAAAGGGGGTTAATATCCCAAATATATAAGAAACACAACTCAATATCCAAAAAAAATTTCTTTAACGTGAACAAAGAACCTGAAGAGACATTTTTCCAAAGAAGACATGTTAATGGCCAACAGGCACGTGAAAAGGTGCTCGGCGTCACTAATGAGCAGGGAAATGCTAGTCCAAACCGCACTAAGGAAACACCTTGCACCTGCTCGGGTGACTATTGCAAAGAAGTCCAAAGAAAAATGTTGGCAAGGATGTGGAGAAAGGAGAAACCTTATACATGTTGGTAGGGATGTGAATTGATGCAGGCACTATAGAAAACAGTATGGCAGTTCCTCAAAAATTAGAATTACCATACGATCCCACATTCTGACTTCTGGGGATATAGTCAGAGGAAGTAAAGTCACTATCAAATCCCATGGGAGTATACATCTGTACTCCCATGTTTATCTCAGCATTATTCACAACAGCCAACATATGGAAACAACCTAAGTGTACAACAATGGATAAAAATGTGAGATACTCACATACACAATGGGATATCCATTGTGTCTCATAAAAAGAAGGAAATCCTGCGATTTGAGGTATGGGTCAACTGGGAGGACATTCTGCTAAGTGAAATAAAGGAGACACAGAAACACAAGTACTTTGCGATCCCACTTACATGTGGAATATAAAAAAATTAAACTCGGTAGCAGAATAGAATGGAAGTTTCCAGTAGCTGGGGTAAGGGGTGAGGGCAGTGAAGAAGTGGGAAGATGTTGGTCAAAGGTTAACTTTCAGTTTCGAGTAAGTTCTGGAGACTTAATGTACAGCATGTTAACTATACTACTAATTAGTACACATTTTTGAAATTTGCTGAGAAAAGATAACAAAAGTAAAGAATGTATGGTAAGACAGTTTACTTCTGAAATTACAGAAATATTCCTCTGTAATTTATACATGGTAAAGGCAAATTACACATGGGAGTACATATAGTAGGTGTGGTAAATTCAGTTTTGTCACGGGAAAACCATGCACATGGGATGTAAAGGAATAACGGTGCTGGCTCACTCTATAATTTGCATATGCCTGCAGAGAGACTTTGTCTTATTTCTGCTTAAGCAGAGGGAGCCTTTGAAGCGTGATTCGAATACCACAGTGCCTGAAGTATACTCAGTAACCTTGCAGGTGGAATTGGGCTGGAATGAGAAGAATAAAAATACCAGAGGACAGAAGAATTAAAAGCCAACAGCTTTTCCTGTCTCAGTAAAAGAAAGACTTATGGTATGTTTTGAATTTTCATTTTCAGATTGAACTAGGTAGTATTATAAACTTAAAAGTATTTGCATTTATGTTTCTTATTGGAGATGAAGTTATAAGTAGTCCCTTTATATTGCTTTAGTAGCATCATCTTTATTGATTCTGTTTTAAAACATTATCTAATTTATCTTTGTCCAACATATTACCAAGTCAGTTGAATATAATTTGGGAGGTTCTTTGTCTCTCATAAAAATAGAACATACTTGTATAGTTCCTTACAGAAGGCCTTCATCATTCCCTCATTAATTTTTTAAAAAACTCACTAAGCCCCTAATGTGTGCCAGACACAACTAGAACTGAATTAGATAAAAAGACAGCGTAGAAGCTAGAGAAATACTATTCTTTGGAAGACTGTTACTGACATGAGCCATGCCGTATGACCTTATTTACTACAGTGTGTAGTTGAAACTGAAGGTGTTTACTGACTTTCATTTTGGAAATCACTCCTACAGAATGGCATAAATGCAGTTTGGTGTTTTGGGGTTTGCTTTTTTCATTTAGACCTTTGCCTTCAGTCCAGACATACTACAGTGTTTTCTTCTAGTGTACTCATACCACATTTTACCTGTCTACCCCTCCAGTGATGGAAACCTAGAATGCTTCTAATTCCTTACCATCAAAGATGAAGAAGCATCAGAATACATGTTGGTGTTACAAGAATTACTTTGCTATAACAAGAGTAGAATTGCTGGATCATGAGATGCGCAAATACTTTGGCTAAGCAGTGCTGCCAGTTGCTCCTGGGAAAGGTCTTTAATCACTGTTCCCTAAAGGGGTTCTCTTAGCCTCCTCACTAACACTGAACATTGTCTAGCTTTCTAATGTTTTACCAAACTAGTGGACTAATATCACTTTACTCATATGGTTAATGGCTTGTGGCTTTTCCCTCCTGCAACTTGGATAATTTTGTCCTTTCCCTCATTTCTTTTTTGAGGTTGCTACATGTTCTGGCTGATTGTAAACTTTGTTCCTGGTATCTCTAGTTCAGTCAAGAAATGATTCATTTTGATGTGATTGAATTCATCATTTTTTGGTATTGTGATATTCCTTGTAAAAGGTATTGTGTAATGCCTTTTCTAGTTAGTACTACTGGTATAGAAGTTAAGAGGGTTCAAATTCCTGGCTCTTACCAGTCGATGTATGACCTTACACAACGTAAGCCTTGTGTAAATGGGACATTAAAAGTACCTATGTCATAGGGTTTGTAGGAGAATTTAAAATGAGTGGACATTTATGTAGTTTCTAGAATAGCACCTGGCAAGTAGTAAGTGTTGTATAAATAAATTAATGAATATATAGGTGGTTAATCTCAGATTCAGAAACTTTGTTGAGCTCTTTCATTAGCTCTACTAGTTTACATGTTAGTCTCTTTTTAAATTGGATGAGCTTATCGTTTGTAAATTAATAGGTTTATTTTTTTCCAATTCTTACACCTGTCATTTGTCCTTTTAGCATAACATTGAATAGAACTTTTGGTTCTTTGTCAGTATCAATCATCATAGTCATCCTTACCTAATTTCATTTTTTAAGGTAGTATATCTAAAGGTTCTCATTTAGGATATTTCCTGAAATTTTTGGCTGATAATCCTTACCAGGTTGAGAAAGTAGCTTTTGTTTTTTTTGCTTTCTTTTGTTACTGGGGTGACATATACAGAAATATTCTGAGTTGAGATATTCTTGCTTTCCTGGTATAAGCTCTACCTGATTATAACATATTTTTCTTTAATACACTGCTAGTCTTATTGGGTAATATTTGGAATTTTTGCAAGTGAAGTGAGCCTATACTTTCATTATTTGGTTCATATTTAGATTTGGAATTCTTTATTATCCCCATGAAAGGAGAGCTGGTCAATTTATGTAAATTTTTATTTTTCTGCAAAGGCTTATATAAAATAGCATGAATCTTCTAGGAATTAGTGGAACTCACTTGTAAAACCATAGGGACCTGGTGTTTTGAATAGGAGATTATTACCTTTTCATTTTTTTTAATACTAGTCTATTCTGTTGAAATTATCTGTTTCTTCTTATATGAATTTTGGTACTTTATATTCTAGAATTTAGTCACTTCATATTTTAGCATACATTTGTCATGTTTACTTTTGATTTCTTTGTCACTTTTAACTCTTTCTTGATAAGCCACGTCAGTTTTCTTTAATATTTTCAGAACATAGTTTAGCTTCATCAATCTTCTCTACTACTATTTACTGTTTCATTTCTGCCTTTATTATTTCCTTCCTGCTTATTTTGCTATTGCTCTTTTCTGTTATCTTGAATTGAATTCTTAACTTGTGGATATTTAAATTTTCTTGTATTCAAAGCTGTATATTTCTTTTAGGTACTGGTTTGGTCATGTCCCACAAATTATGCCTTGTTGGGTGGTTTATATCATTCCTCAGATTTAATATTTCTTAACATCCTTTGTAATTTCCATGTTAACCCAAGAATTATCTAGGTCCTGACATAGGATTACTTTTAACTAAGATTTAATATCTACTTTTATTGCATTGTGGCCAGATTATTTATTCTGAATGAAATATCCTTTGGAATCTAGTTATACTTTATAACCTAATATAATACATGATCTGTTTGTGTGTGCGTGCACTCAAGTATCTATTGTTTGGTCTAGAGTTCTGTTTACTTAGAGTTCTATTACTTAGATAATACCCAAAGTATATTAATATTGTAATCATTTTTTGTACTTTTTATATTCCTGCTTATATTCCCCCCCCTCAGTTCTATTAGTTGTTATTCAAGAACTTTTGAGTATATGTTTTCAGGTTGATACATGATAAGTACAGCAGGTCTTCACATAACAGCATCTTGTTCAACATCACTTTGTTAAAACGTTGATGAGATGCCTTCAGAACTAACTCTTGTTTATGTCAAGTAGCCTGTGGTAACATCATTTAGTTGAATGTTGCAGAGCCCATTAAGTGAGGATTTAAATGTATGTCACTTTATTCAGTTCCTTTTACTAGTATTATCGTCCATCTTTGTCCGATATAATTTTTGACATAAGACCTTGTTGTATATTAAGATTGCTGTCTCAGCTTTATTTGGGTCCATACTGGCCTGACGCATCTTTTTTTATCCTTTTATTTTTTTATCTTCCTGTGTCTTTTTGCTTTAAAATGTCTTTTGTTAACAGTATATTATTGAATCTTCTTTTTTAATCCAGTCTGAGTGTCTGTCTTTTAATTTGAGTTTAACCTACTTACATTCAGTGTAATTCCTACTGTATTAAGATTTATCTCATATCTGTAGAGTATGGTCATACGATCCCAACCTCTGGGCCCTGGCAAGAATCCTCTAATATCTAGTAACTCTGCAAGCAGGCCAGGCCTCCAAAAACTAATCCCACCAAGCACATCTACAAGTAAAAAGATAGGTACAAAATAATTTTTATAGCGCTCTGTTTGGAGGTTTGGATATAAGGGATCTGCTTTAGCAGAACTAATTTTCTGGGCTAGAACTGCATATTTAAAAACAGACTGGCCCGTAGATATGTACCAACAGAGAATTAAAATGTTCCCAAGCGCACTTTCCCATTTCGTGATTTTAGGAACTATTCCCAATAGGAAAATCTGGCTGATCCTATGAGATAAAGAGGGAGAGCCAAGAGCGCTTTGTTCAGCCTCCACGTTCTTGGGTACTCATAGTTAGACTACAATGTTACCTAGTGCTTTCAGGCTTTAATGTCATGTGTCTAGTTTTCTCCTTCACAGGTTAAGGCTACCTCTCCAGATAGTCCAACAGTAAGTCACCAGTTTCCAAGGGCATTTGCACCACCTGTGGAAAACATTGGATCCATGCACACCAGGTGTTCTCGACAACTCATCCCACCATCCCTCTGCACATAATCTGCCGCACCAGCAGACCCTGAAGGCAGCCACTGAGTTTCTTCTTATTGCCAAGTAGATGTAATACCCTGGCAACAAAACAGAGGACACAAGTGTCTCTTCAGAGTATCACGACCAATTGAAACCACGCTGAGAAAATCAGTTTGCCTAGATGAGGACCCTTGCTTTTCTTGGGTAGCCAGGATTTAACGGAGAGACTCTGACCGGTGCCCCTGGTAAGTGACTAACACTTTTACACACTGAACTGCTCCTGAAAACTGAGATGTCTTTGTAAGTGAAGAAAATACACCATGATCTCGAAGAACTACCCAGTGGTGCAAGCCAGAGGCATACTGTGCATGTAAGGGACTCAAGAACAGGCAAGTTAATCTTGTTGAAAGGATTTTTCATCTTTTGTGTATGTTTGCCAGTGTTAGTCAGTGTTTTGCTGGCTTAAATTGTTACCTTTCTCTGGTTCCTTCTCCTGTTATGTTCTAATGGGTCCCAGAAATCCCTCTCCTGACCCCTTGTCAGAATCGGAGAGTGAAGAAGAAGAAAATGCTAACTACCTAAATGATAGTTCTGGGGAGGAGTGGGATTCCTCCGAAGAAGAGGACCCTGTGGTGCCCAACCTAACACCTCTTGAGAGTCTTGCCTGGCAGGTTAAGTGCCTTTTAAAATATTCAACAACCTGGAAACCTTTAAATCCTAATTCCTGGTTATATCATGCTAAACTCTTAGATCCAAGCACACCGGTCCATATACTTCGCGAGATAGGTCTGAGACTCTCCCATTGCTCCCACTGTGTGCCCAAACTGGAACCAATTCCCGAATGGCCACCCCTGGCTTCTTGTGGAGTCCCACCTTTCCAGAAGCCCTTGACGAGTCCCAGCCGGCTTTCTAGAGATCATGCCACTCTGAATGGAGCTCTGCAATTTGCCACCAAACAGTTAAGCCGAACCTTGAGTAGAGCCACTCCCATAACTGAATACCTGAAACAGATCCCTAATTCATGTGTTTCTGGTTGTTGTTGTGGCTGGTTAACTAAAACGGTTAAGGAGACAACCCGCACTGAACCAATCAACACTACTTACTCTTATACTGACTTCCAAAAGGCAGTTAACAAACTCTTAACTGCATCACTATAAAACCCACCGTTGTTCTGATGTCTCTTGTGTTGCTAACTGAGAAAGCAGTACAAAGTTACACAGCCCAGAGTTGAGAAAGGAATGCCTCCTTGATCAAACTGCCCTGCCCTGACAAGCCCAGTACACCAAGTACTGGGTATATATCCAAGAGGTCCATAACCCAGCTGCAGAGAGTACGCACCTCGAGCTTTCCCTTTGATAAGACCCTGTGGATAAAATGAGAACTTTAATGGAGAATTAGTCAAAAGGTACCATATTGCAAAAAGATAAATTATTCTCTGAGTTCTGTTCCCCACCCCCATTTACTCTGCCTGTCTGAATGGACTCCCTCCAGATATCTAATTATTAATGGGAAGGAAAAGGTAGGCTACTACCCCTTTTATGACCCATCCTTCACAACAGCTATCGTGAAAGTGGAAAGTCGGCTACTCCCAGTTACACCCGCCTGAGCATAGTTTGCGCTGACATTCATTTTTAGGGAGGTAGTTGAGTTGAATAACTAGACAAAAGAAAACGGTGGAAATAGATTCATCTCCTGGCTTTTCTATGGGTAGGCCTACGTGTGGCACAGGGGTTCTTATTTTGGGAGAGAAAGGGCTGTTTCAAACCTGTAGTCTGTTGCTCCAGACCCATTATAGTACCTGTGATTACAGCAGAAACACAAGTTCCCATCAGGTTCTCTCTAATTAAGTTGACCTATAAGATGGCACCTGGGGATTAAACAGACACCTTTTCTACAGGGAATATATTTTCTGCATCTTAGCACTCAGACTTTAGTCAAGAGGAAATAAAACGCATTCATTCCAAAAGGGAAAAAGGTTATTAAGAGAGCATTAATGTTTTCAGTACTAACTGCTGAAGGGTTCAAGTCTTCAGCCTGCTTCCTGGAGCAGCACCTCACGCACCTTCCCTTCCACCGCAAACTTCCCAGGATCACTTCCAACTTTAAAGAACCTACTGCAGAAAACCTCAGCCTGATACAATCTGAAGTTAGTTTTTTAGTATCACTGTTTTTCTACATAGCTTAGCTTTAGCTATATCTGAACAAGTGTATGTACTGTTGTAAATGAATCTTACAGTGTTTATTTAGTTGAGTCAAAATGTAGAAGTCAACAAAATGCATGAGACCATTAGATCTTTTCATACACCTTCAATAAAGAGTGAAACCTGTGTATAATCCTGGTTAACAGGGCATCTAAAGGATTCAGAAAATAGATCGTTAAAGGTGTATTACACACCCCCTTTAGCTTTGCTTTTTCCTCTTCTCCATAACTAAGTGCTGTGTACAATGTGGCATCAAAAATTGAAGCATTAATAGAATCACAAAGGCTAAAATGTGTAGCAACTCTAAGAAGAGAGAAGAATGTTTATAACCTAAGGAGCATTTGTGCTGAGCCTTAGTTTAGTTGTCTTAAGGGAAAAACGAGGGGATTATAGTAGGTAGAAAAAATATTTGTTAGTGGAGAGTTACTGAACTGAAGCATATTATACTATTAGTGTAACTGAATGTATCAGAAACTGTTTCTATGTAGCTGTTTTCTGTGAAACTGGTTTTTAAAATGTCACACCTGTTTCTTTTAAGGGGGAGGTGGGAAAGATAGGGAGGTCTAAAAAATTAAAAGTATGTTGATGTTTATGTAACCATACTATGTTCCTTTTTCTGTGTACCTGTGCTTGAGAGTGTGTATACGCGCATTTACGTGTGTGAAATGCCTTCCTCATAAACGCATTTTTCCTATTTACTCCTAAAGGAAGCCTTTCCCCAGCTTTGCGGCTGAATAAACCAACAGCTTTGTACATGCTGAACAGAGTATGGTCATTTATTCTCAACACTAATACATAGATCTTGCTTTGCTTAAGGCATTCAGCATTCCCTAAGTGCTGAATAAAGTCAATAGATACAGCACATGGTGACTTGGCAACTCTAGAGAAGAAACATACCTGAAGAAGATAATGCGAGATGCTGTCAGAACCCACATTTGAACCCTTTCGTTACATATTAAGTAATTCCAGGTTGCACAGAAGGATAGGCGCCTGAATAAGCCTTAAGCCTTCACTACTTGTGCACTGTGGATGTGGGTTTAGGGGTGAATTTACCACTGTCACACTCACCCTACAAAGGCCTTTGGTTAAATGCAGTCACCATAATTGAACAAAGAAGGGTACATTTATTTTCCATAGGAATATTTATCAAAGAGCTCTTAGGAAACAATTTCTAAACCAGGGGCCATTACTGTTATCTAAAGGTAGTCTCAGTACAGTCAGCCTCTGTTGAAGCTGTTCAAACACCTTGAGCCCTCAAGACCACAGTCATGTATTTTAAACCCATCAGCTAACTAAGAAAAAATCTATGTTGCAGGAGGAGGTCAGCTTTAGGGGATTATTTTCTGGAGTTCCTATCAACTGTCTACCTTAAAAAATTACTCTATTGAAAACAGTGTTTTGGTATTAGAGTAAATTGTTAGAGCAGTTTAGGGACCCTAGAAGTCACTTGGCTTATTTTGTTTAGTATGTTTTTATTGATTATGCTGTTAAAGTTGTCCCAGTTTTTCCCCTTTGCTCCCCACTGCCCAGTACCCACCTTCCCTCCAACAGTTCCCCACCTTCCTCAGTTCATGTCCATGGTCGTACTGATACATAAGTATTTTCACATCTTTAATGATGATTCTCTCATTTTGGCTCCAGTATTGGAGAACTCAGTATATTTCTGAGCAGCCCACTGGTTTTAAATATCTCATTGGAAATTCATTCATTCATCTCATAACATTAGGGAATGCCTACTATAATCCAGACCCTGGGAATGCAAAATGAACATACTACACATAAGTTAGTTTTTAATGCAAAATGAACATACTACACATAAGTTAGTTTTAAAATATATAGAACCAAGGTAAATGATCCCAAAGCTCTTGATGCCATTTTTGCTCTCTGGTTACATTCAGTAAGGCTAATCATTATCCCGGCCCTTAAGTATTTGAAAGTGGGACAGCCATCCAAATATAGCGTAGGTGCCTGTGGAAGACACACTCCAACAAACCACACAAGAGAAAGTCGGCCAAGTGAATAGAGAAAATAAATAGGTATTTTGTACACAGATTTAAATTACGTATGCCAAGTTTGTAAGGCAATGGCACATAATAGGACTGGAAATATTTTGCTCATGGCTGGGGTTATAGATGTATATATGTAACTTCTGACTTCCTAAGACAAATTGGTAGAAGCTGCTGGCTTTGTACGTCCACCAATGAGCAGCATTCATTCAGTCGAGGGAGCTCTACCAGGTGACATAGCTACTAGGCACTGTCAGGTTGCTGTGATCAGAAGGAAAATAGGGTGTATCCTCACCAATTTTAAACAGTTAATGGCTTTGTGTGTGAGTCTGATCACGGTACAACCCTCTATGCTCTTTAATTGGTGGTAGCTGTGGGCTTATGTAAAAACTTTGGAAGTGAAACCAAGAAAATGGAAAGAAAAAGATAAAACAGCGATTTGACACTTGCCAGCTACCCAGCTCCTGTTAGCTGTGAGAGCTGTGACAAACTTCTCAATGAGATACGGGAAATCCCGGTTTAAAAATAATTTTAAATGGTGTGGCAGGCAGGCATTACCGGAGTTGTTGGTTGTGAACAGCATAGAGTCAGCTGTTAAAATGTCAGCAGCAGTTTAGGGTTGGATTATAAAACACTCAGGTGACTGATGTTTGGGCATTTTATTTGAGAAGACATAGATGGCCCCAGCACGTGACATGAAAATCCCTGGAAAGTGATATCCCGTTCCCTGGAGTAGGCCATAATCAGTAGGCCTGAACAGCCAAGCAAGATTAAAACTGAGTTCTTAGTACACACAGAGACCAAGCCAGTGTGGTGTCAAATTAGATTTCAACAGAAACCAGGTGGAAGAGTCTTAAGTGTTGCCATTACAAATTAAGGAGCTGATAATGTCCACTGGGGTGGGGCATTACATTTAAGTTAACTGCTCACCTCTTGCTGAATGTTAGTATTTCTAGCCATACTGTCAGCCATGGAACATGATGCTCCAGTGTATCAACTAGTGTCTATAACGTGTTAATTAGGCAATGGTCTAGTAGGGGAACATCCTCTGGGAGGTACCCAAACAACTGAACAGTCCAAGGGTGTGGCCATGTTCTATCAAAAAGACCCTGGGTTGGTTTTATGATTGCACCTGGGGCAACCAGAGTGAATTGGTGAGGTGGGAACCTGGTGACACAGGAAGCCAACCGCAACTGAGAGACACTGAATTCCTATATTAATTGAAAGCATTAACGGCCACAGCCTCCCTGTTCCGTGGAGATTTACCACAAAGTGGGTTATAGGGTGTTGGCCCCTGGCTACCTTCCTGCTCGTAACAGAACTTCCCAGTGGCTTGAATGCTTTGGTCCAGATCCCAGTTTCCTTCTTTGAACCCAGTTGGTTTTGTTTTGTCTTGTTTTGTTTAATGTTGGTCATTTTGTACTTATGACACATCGTTTCTTTAAATGTGTTGGGTTGCCAAATTTAGCAAAAATGCAAGACACCCAAATAAATTTCAATTTCACATAAACAATGAAAAATGGGACATACTTAGACTAGAAAAATCATTGTTTTTCTGAAATTCAAATTTAACTGGCATCTGGTGTTTTATCTGGCAGCCCAAATAAATAAATAAACAAATAAATAAATGTGTTGGTAGCATTGATTCAGCTTGGGTGGTAGTCGTGTCATTGTTCCCAGGAAACAGTCTTCCTGTTGTGTGGTGTTTTCTTACGTCCACGTACTGGACACAGGCAGAAGGAGGCTCACATGAAGTTGACAGCGAGGTCCATGTGTTGCAGAGAGGTGGGGAAGGAAGACCAGTTAGGCTAAAAGGCTAACATAATCCCATAATGTTAATAAATTACATGAACATTTCCAGGCATTTTTATAATCTTGTAAAATGCTGTCTCAATAGGTAGATTGTTTTTTTGTTTATGTGTGTTTTAAGCAGTTATTTTCTCCTTTGCCATGAAGGGAAAAATGAAGTATCTTTTAAAGTGTAAATACTTGGTAAGTTGCACAGTTCTGGCAGCGAGTCTTCATTGCAGGAAAGGTCCACAAATTGGAACACATCTTTTCCTTGCAGAACCCCCAAAAGACTCAAGGATTTGGAGTGCAAGTTACCCTGGAAGGTGAAGGTGAGGAGCAAAGTTGGAAACAGGGGTATTATTTGAAAGTGTATTTGTGTTCTCATTTTGTAGCCAGGCTTCTGTCCCTCTTTCTAGCCAAAGATTGGAGGCTTAATATTTGGGGAAATTGTTCAGATTCCCAGTTAGACTTAGGACTGGGCTGGAGGACAGAGGTAGTGAGGTGCTATACTGAAAACAGGACGACTGAGAGACTGTGATCATCGGAATGACTGATTGCGGGCCATCAGTGCCTTCTGTCCACCCAGCTGGCAGCCAGGCTTACACCCAGCCCTGTCCACCCCGTCCAGAAAGATGAACAATTTAAAATAAACACCTGCCACTTGGTTATTTGTTACAGTGGAACCCAGAGCCCACAAAGCCTGCTCATTCACACAGCTTTCAGTCACCTGAACTCACCATAAACTGATAGCCAAGACTCATTAGACATTTGAGGATAAATAACTTCGACAAGGAAAGATGAATACCAAAATTAACCTCGGGAAAGAAAACTGGAAGGAATGCAGGAAACATAAAACTTCCAAAGAGGCTGTAATATTCTCATAAACAGGAGAATATATTGCATCCATGAAGTAACAGGATTCCATAAAATACCAACAATCAAAATAAGAATATTGGAAAAGTAGGAGAGCCAAAATTAAAGTCAATAGGTAAGTTGGAAGAGAAGCTGAAGAAATTTCAGAAAGAACAAAAAGGCAGAGATAAGGAAAGAACAGAAAGGGAAATTAGAAGATCAGAATGGGATGCAACATCTGATTAATAATAAGAGCCTCGAAATGAGAGAATAGAGAAAGGAGATGAAGAGACAAAGAACGCTTCCCAAAAATACAAGACACGAATCTCCTAAAATGACCCCCTGAGTGCCTGGCACAATGAGTTAGTTGACAAAAAGCACATCATTATATTTCAGGATACTAGGTTTAAAGATCCTAAAAGTTTCCAAAGGGGAAAACAAGGTTTACTCAAAATGATGTTTTCAGAATGGCATTTAGACTTCTTGGGAGCAACACGGGATGTTAGAAGACTGAAAGCAAGACCTTCAAATGTAAAGGAAAAAATTAATTCTAACCTACAATTCTACATCCAGACTATCCAACCAACTACGGGGCTAAAATAAATTTAGATTTGCATGGTCTCAAAATTTTACCTTACCATATACCCTTTCTTAGGAGGCTACTGGAGGATGTGCTTCAACAAAACAAAGGAGTAATCTACGTAAGAAGGTGTGGGATCCTGAAACCATATCTCACAAAGGAACACAATGAAGGAAGGTCCTGGGATGGCAACTGAGTCAAGTAAGTAGGATGGGGGTTTCAGGAAATAAGTGTCTAGAAAACACGGGACAAAGTGAGTATATGGAAAATGTAAAGAAGAATGAGACAGATGTTAGGAAATTAGGCAAAAAGAATAAGATAATTACATAGGCAACTAGGTTAATAAGACGATAAGAAATACACAAATATACATTTTTTGGATGACTGTCAATGTCACAAAAGTAAATCTGAAATTTTGTTTTTTAAATGTCATTATTACTGTTTTAGTCAGATTTAGTAGTGAAATTAAAAATATAGTACCATGGTAGTAATATCAGCAATTTGCCTTCAGGCATCATACTCCA